TAGAAATTATCAATTAAAGACACTTAAGATTGACTTCCTTCTTTTTCTCTCTTTTGTAATTGTTATGTCAATTAAGAACGTCAATTAACCTAATAATGTTGATGTCAGCTACTCAAATCATCCATGTTGATTCCTCACACATGAAATTCATAAGAAAACCTAATAAATGTTGATTCCCCACACAATTAATAGATTTTCCAGCATTAGGTTTAGGGTGTTAAGCAATTGATACATTCATTTCATTCCTGACAATTAATGTAACAAATATTCTTACCGTGATCTAGAGTTCAAGATATATTTTTCAATCATATCCCAAACATCAAGAAAAAATCATTCCAAAGCACAAATGATAAGAATAACAACATCAAAACATAAATTAATATCTAAAAATATCACCATGATACAAAAGAGTTCTAAGGAAGTGTATCAAATCCCAAAAGAATGAAGTTAGTCACTCACGTTGGCCATTACAATGCTCAAAATGTGGAAAAAGTGAATAATTGATGCAGATTGGACGAAACCATAGCAATAGTCATGCCTCTTCTCCCCAAAATCACTTCCTTTTCTCAAAACTTGTCTTATCTTTTTATAGGAGAAATTATGCTTTTGGTCTTTGCGTCTTTCACTCAAGCGACAACACTTGCTTAAACGAAAGTTCCCTATTTTCGCTCAAGCGACAAATCACTCGCTTAAGTGAGTAAACTCCAGAGACGAATAACTAATATTCACTCAAGCGAATTTACTGGCACTTGAGCGACTGACTTCTAGAGAAGAATAACTGATATTCGCTCAAGCGAGAGTCTATCTCGCTCGAGCGACTTCCATACTGAAAATCTTCTTTTTGCTTTCAGTTTTACTCTAATTATGTTGACAATTATACCACTTACTCTTGTATCAATGTATTATCGAATTCATCCTATATTGAAAGAAAAATAAATTAGAATTAATATAAGTTAAGTGATTTCATAACAATTCAAAATATAATTATATCAACTTTTTATCACTTAACAATATCTTAGTTAGATATCGCAAATGACCCATTCAAAAGGAAAGTTAAAGGAAAAGAGAATTTTTTTTTGAGAGAGATTAAGCGAATGGATATATTTTTGAGATTTTACATGTTTAAACTTTTATTTATATTTTTTTTATTGTTATTCTTTTATAAATCTTAACTTTTAACTGTTGGTGAATATTAAAATATATAATTAAAAAAGTGAAAAGAATGAGTTCTAATTTGAAATATTTATAGATGTATGTATCATTAATGGGATAAGTAGGCGTTGATGTTACCTTTTATTCTTTAAGAAAAACAAGTTTGGGCAGATACCATCCTTTAAACTCTTTCTTTTTAAAGGAAATACGATGCTTTAAAGTTAAAAACTAATCTAAATTATTCTTATTTCTTTATTAAGGAAAATCAAGGAGAAAGTTCAAGATGTGTAAATTAAAGAAGACTCTTGATGTCATGTTAGGATCTGAGAAACCTCAAATTATTTGTGGCTTGCCATTTGAAAAGGTCATTGATTTATATTCCTCTTTTGTGGCATGATTATGCTGAGGAGTCCTATCCTTTCCAATCCTAATGCATGCATTTTCTGATCCAATCTTTAGCCGCAAACACCAGACACACCAATTAGAGTGTAAAGTCAAGCTTCAAAATAACTCAAAGAGGCTTTTTTATTTTATTTTTTATTATTATTATGATGGTTCATCATCATCATGATGCTTTTCTTCCTCCTTTGACCCCACCAATCCATCCCCTTTGGTATATCAAATGAAGAAGGGTAACCAAATGATCACCCCAAATTAAAGCATATGGAGTAAGTCAATGACCCCCACATCACACCCTTCAAACTCTCCTTTTCTCCCCATCATTTGGTCATTGCTATCATCAAACATTGTTGCCACACTCATACTTCAATCACAAATCCTAAATACCCTTTTGGCTATATCCATTTCATTAACAAGTAAGATTAATGTGGGGTGGTCTAATCTCATCTTAAGATAAGATTAAACAATTCTATACTAATTAGTGTAATTAACACCCGCAATCAACTTACTTTAAAGTACATTAGAGAATTATTCTAATAACTTATGATTAGACTGTCTAACTTCATTTTCATTCAGGATAAGTTTGACAACTTCATAATAACTTTATGTAACTACCCCATTTAGACCATCTTTTGAATGTTTTCAATGAGAAGTTCTTCTATTAATTGGAATAATTTTTTAGTCCAAAATGGTCATGGTCAAGCATCAAAGACTAACCACCAAGATATGGAAATCTGTTTAAAAGGATGACCTCTACTAACAAGTACATAAATTGGGTGGTGGGTTCTTGTTCTAAATTTTATTTGTTGCTCATATTGGTTGGTATATGAAAATGTGTACTAACATAAGCATGATCAATGTTGGTAGGTTTGAGCATTAGCATGAGGACTTTAATGGTGAATAGTGAAAATGTTAGAAATTTGTCAAAGTGTTAGCATCTTCCTCTTGGCTATAGTCCCATTCAATGTTCCCTTCACTGTTCTTTTCCCCTTCTCCATCTCAACTTCCTTTTTCTTCCTTTGACCATTCCTCATTCAAAGGGCTTAGTCTTGCTTTAAGGTGTGTAGAAAGCATGTGAATCTGAGAGAATTGGTTGAAGCACTGCAGTTGAGATTGTGATCTTTGAGGGGCCTCCAAGTTTTGATTCATCTACCTTTCTGTTGTTTGTCTAATTCAACTTTCTTTCTTGCTTCAAGGTTTTTCCTTTTCATTCTATGCAAGACTTCAACATCACTCTAATGGCCAAACTTTCTCATGCAATGATTCCTAAAGCAAAATTTTATACTTAGTCTCTAAATCTGACTCAACTTGTTTTTTACTTTTGTACTTCCAAATCAACGAAATCAATTTTTTTTTACTTGAAAAAATTATGTTTTTCTTATTCTCTCATCTTTTTTTTTCAAAAAAAAAAAGTCAAATAATCGAGAGTAGCAAAAGATATATTTTCAAAAGGTAAAAACATTTTTTATTGGTTTTAAAATATAAAACCTAAATTTAAGTTTAGAAAAATACAATAAAAAAACACATTTTTTTTCTATTCATAGAATAACTAAATAAACCTTGGAACACAAATGGTTGTAATTTACAAGTAGAATATTCCACCTTATCATATCAATAACACCAAAAAAAAGAAAAAATTATTAAGAACAGTGTGCACGAAAAAAAAAAGACCAATTCTAACAAAAAATATTTTTAAATATGTTATTACGTTTCTTCTCTTCCATGTCAAATATGGATAGACATCACTATCCTTTCATCTTAATTCGTGACAAGTTGTGAGAGACTTTTTTTTTATAAATAAATTATAATAAATCTACTATCGATATAGATTATTATTTTATGTTTTTCACACAACCTTATAAGTGCTAAGCTCAAATCCGTATATTTCAGAAAGGTTACACAAAAAAATATCATTCGCACAAGGGAATAAAAGAGTAAAAAAAAAAAGTAATAATTCAAAATTACTCCTTTATGATATTTTCTGAAATAAATATATAAATAAATTTTTGACCAATCATAAACCAGACATATAAACCCACATTTCTCTCCTAACATGTTATTTTGATCTATGATTGGGTTGGCTTTGTAATCATGCCATTTTTTCACAAGTATGTTATGTTACACTTTTTCTCTTACGTCTATTTCCACCTTCCCTTATTTATATTCATATATTCCTCTTTCTTATCTCATATTTATCATTTTCTTCTCATTCTTTCCTTTTCTATCCATGTCTGCAATAGTTATATACACAGAAAAAGAATGTAAAAAAAAATCTTTTTCAACTATCTTTTAAAAGTAGATGTAATTTAGCTTTCGGCAACCTTCTGTCACCATCACTAATCCTGTAAAATTTACTCATCACCAGAAATATATATATTACAACATTAAACTGCAGAGAACAGGGGCCTTATAACACGGGACTGAGTAGGTCCATTTGTTAACCTGGTAAGGGTTGGGTCAAACATGGATTGATCTGTATGATGGGGCACCTATAATTTGGTTCATTTTCTCTGTAGAAGTTGAAATAAATAATTTGGTTTTTGTTTATAAGTAAATTTAGGGGAGAAACTTCATAATTTATAGTTGTTAATTGTGATTATTTAGAATTTCTAACATCATATTATACAAATTAGTCCACTTTTTAAACTTCAATTTTATTAGCCTGTGGAATATTTATCTCATCATTGTTTTAAAAATCAGATTACACTGTCTAGTTTGATTAATTGGACCTACATATAGATTAGGTCAAGTCACTCTCCCAACAAACTCAGGAAAATGATAAAACAAAAAAAAAATTAACATGTGGTCAGGAACGGATTCTAAAAGTTTATTTGAACTGTTTTCTTTTTTTTTATATGAAAAAAATAGTTATATTTTTTAAAGAAATAAAAGGTCATAATATTTACATATTAAATACCATCATCAAAACCAGAACAGATTAAATTTATCAGAACTGAAACTTTAAGTTAAATGAAAATTACATGAATGAAAAAACTTTTGAAATTAAGAGAAATAAAATAAATAATGGAGAACTAGAAATATATTTAAACTTTCTAGTATATGAAAATCGTGAAGCATAAGTTGTAAGCCAACTGTGAAGCACTTCTTAAAATTTTGTTAACAGGCATCTTAGAAAGCAGGTTTAATATTGTAGTCAGCAAATGATTAAGAGGGTAAAAAAGAATGCTGTCATTCACCAATAAAAAAAGCTGTTTTCATTTCTTACAAAACAAGTAAACTGATTTTAGAGCCAAGGCAAAAAATAATTCAGTGCTATATGTAATTGACAGTGGTAAAAATTGGGCACTCCTTTGGAATCTAAGACTTTTCTATTTGCACAAACACCAATATACAAGCCCCTTTGCACTTCTTTGCTCTTGAAATGTGAATATTTCTCATCTTATACAGGAAAGAACCACCACAACAGGTCTTATATTGAAGCATTGTGATTAAGGCTGGGATATTAGGGGAGTGCGAAGATTATCATTGTTTGATGAGTACTGGAGTGGAAGCAGTGCAGGGTCTTTGTAAGCATTTACCAAATTCTCATAAAACTGTGTCATTGTAGCATCATTTTGGTCTTGCCTATCTTTCTTTATCAAACTCTGCAAACAAAAACCCAAGTCAAAATCAGACCTGACAGAGAATTCAACATGCAACATCCCTCTATTCTTTCACAAATGGTAAGGGTTAGATATGATGGGTCTTTCAAGGGAGAATTCACGGAGGAGAGAGGACAAAAGACATGAACCCAACTCACATAAGAAATTTACAACTCCTTCAACTTAAAACCTTAAAGCATCAGATTATGGATCTTTCTTTCATATATATTGCTCAACTTTATCTTTCTTACTTAATGTGGTACTTAAACTCACAATTTGATTTTCCAACCATATATTGGAAAAGCATTTGAACATCCAGGTTACATGGATTTGAAATGTACCTCTGCAGAGTATGCAACAAATATGGGTAGGAATCGTTTTCGGCAGTACTCGTTAAACAGAAGTGTAAGGACTGGTAGAGGCATTGTCAAAGTTGAGGCGATAGAAAGCCTTTTCAATGCAAAGATTCCCACTGCAATAACTTGCATGAGTACCAGAGAAAATATCATTGAATTGTGTATAATAGGCCAAAATTTCCCAGCTGTATCGTACTTAGGCGCATATACATTTATAAACTGCATAATACATTGGCAGATCATCAGTGTGAATTATATCAGAAATGTTTTATAATCTTCTCACAATTTCATGGATAAAATTAACATTGTCATAAAATAATGAAATTCTCCCTCGTTTCTTGGAAGAAGCTCGTCCATGGCATAAAATAAACTCTGGAAAATGTAACAGTCTTCTAACAAATGTTAAAAAAACATCCAAAGAAATGCTAACCTGGTTTCGATATATGATGTAAGCAAGACAAAAGTAGGCCAAGAGGAATGGCAAAATTAATGGAGCTAGGAAGAAATATGTAATGCCAAGAAGTCCAAAAAAAAGGACCCTCGGAATATCCTTGTGATATGGAATAGATGGAACTTCAAATTCATCATCATCTGGACTTGTGAAAGGCCTCGTTATCCAACTGAAAATAAAAGGAATTACACGGAAGAGTTCTGAAGATACACTTGTCCAACCTTGGGTGACAACATAGGTAATAAAAAACGATGCCTACAGTCAAACCAAAATTAATGACATCAGAAAAGATAGAAATAATTCTTTTATATTATTGTAAACTGTTATGTAGATTTTAGACTTCAATTGTAATCATTTGACATGACCAAAGTGATAGATAATGTTTGAAAAACATTACATTATATAAAAGAACATGGAGATTATGTGCAATATGAAAAACCCTCGAAAGGTATCAATGCAACTTACTCTATAGTTTACTACTACTAATGAGAATAAGGCATTTTAATAGAAATTTGCATCCATTAAATATTTCTTAATTCATGCACATTAACCTTAAACATCTAAAGATATGAGAAGGAGGTAGAATATAAAAAATATCTCCTCTGGTATGTATTTTCCATGTTTAGATGATTTAGTGGTGAAACTAAAGAGAAATGATGACAGGCATGTTGCCATGTTCTCTCCTGTATATTTCTCTTCTTTTAATCTTTTGAATAAAAAATGTCAGACCTCCCTGAAAAATTAATACTTTCAATGTCACAGGTTATGCTATTATTATCATTTTCCTTTTGGTTAAATAACACGAAAGATTTCTGGAGTTTATAACAAGAGTTGCAGTTAAAAAATCATGACTAATTATGGTGATATTTCTTTACATGAATGTTCCAGCAACAGAAGATATGCTGAGATCAGAAAGTTTACTAACATAAAACGTGGTTTAATTTAAGGCTGTACCATTATTTTGACAGTTCTAACTCCACAAAAAGGACTTGAATATAAGTTTCATGTTCCTTGACAACCAGACAAAATGTTTTTTGTCATGCAATAGATTTTCTGTAGCCCTCAAAGGTATGTTTTAGGGAAGTCTAAAATGGATGAAGAGAAACATTCTCTAACCTGTGCTGGAACTGCAACTGCCAGCTTCCCAGGAATGTTCTTCGGATCAAGGAGGGCATTAAGCATGGATAGAATTGAGCCAGAAAATACAGTTGCAAAAAACACATTCCAGATTGTGAACCACAGCACTTTTCTAGATGCACTCATTTCTATATCACTATGTGAGATGTATCCTTGAATGGAAGAAAGGAATTCCATGGCTGGAGGCACCACTTTCAGAAATAACTGAAGAATAAGACTGGGAAGGTATCCCGTCACTATTTCATTGAAAATTTTTCTGAAAGAAGATTCACAAAAGGGTCAGTAATTTTGCATTAAGAAATAAAAGATCAAATTACAAAACAAAAGTTAGTATGGTAGGACCAAGTTATAGCACATACTTTAAGTGGAAAAGGGTCTAAAGGTATTTTTTAGGAGGAAAAAGAAGGGGTAAAAGGGTAACAGTATATAGGAGGTTGGGAGAGTGAGTTAGTTCAGTTTTGTGCATCAGTGTTTTCCCTATAAATAAGCCTCCGTTAAGTTTTAGGTCTTCTGGAATATTTTGTAAAACTGGACAGATTCCAATGTAAAGGAGTAAGCTCTTTTGGGGTTACATTTGTATACCTTGGTTCTTGGTTTTTGTGATCAGTTGTCATAATAAAGAGAGGAAATTCAGAATTTTTCCGTGTGTATAAAATTGTTCCTTGTTAGGTTTATCATTTCCTACTTTAAAAAGGAGGATCCTAATATAGCATGTCAGCAAAATAAAGATGTAGCATGAATAGTGTTTATTTGACTATACTGGAAAAATAAAAATCACATCAGATATTTGACATGACACAAAATGTTGTGATTAGATCATCCTAGAAGCAACAAATTTTATATGAGTAAATCTGGAAAGAAGTTTATAAACAACATCCACACTGATCTTCATGTAACTAAAATCCTTTATCAATTTCAAAACCCACACTTTATATCTACAACCAAGATGTACTGAAAAACAAGGTTTGGCACTGAAGTTCCTATGTTTAGAGGCAGTATGAAAGCATTCTGATTGCAATACTCCTCCAAAGCATAGACATCCATGAAAAACTTTTTCCTCAACCTATAAATGACGTCATTGTTCAGATTTCTGACCCCTAGTCCAATATTTCAATTTGCTTTTTGTTTAAATAGCCGGCTTAGATATATTTTCGGTAAACATTTCTAGGAGAAGAAAACAAGATCAAAAAATGAAATAAGTTTTTCTGTAAGCTAAGCTAAATTAGCTTATGTATAAGTTAAAATCATCTATTAGAAGTTAATGAGAAAACTTCCACAAATTAATTTAACTAATTTTAGTTTATGTTTTAACTTATGAAGAATTCATTTATTTTTCTATCACTCTTTTCGTAAGAGTATTTATGGAGACATTTATCCCAATTGACCCAAAATCAGTTTACAGCTAACTAGCTTTTATCCTTGTTTGAATCAACTGATATTTTCTTAATGATCTGCACATGAAATCAAGGCAATGTAGCAAAGCACAGAAAGTGGGGTTCAGCATGACCAATTAAATGAATAAACCAAGTTAACTTACATGGTTAGAATACTTGTCAAGAAAGGAAACAAAATTTCCAATTGATTAAGGTTGGTAAGCCCCTGTACGAATACTACAGGTAAAAGAAATGAAATAGTGAAAAGAGCACACACAACAATAACCACCAACTTAGAAATCCATCTTCTCATGAATGATTCCGAGAAGAAAGGCCAGTACACATCTCGAGGTTCTGGAGCTAGCTCAGTAATCCAGTGGGTGGGATTGACTGATTGCTTTAAATGAAAAGCAGTTGCAGCACCCAAACGAGACCTGAAGAACACAAAGGCAGCTCGAGCCTCCTTGAATATTCATCAAGAATAGAGATTAGAAGATGCAGCAAGCACTTTATAGAAGAAAAATGTAAATAGTTAAATTTAAAACAATACTGAGACTACTTTTTCATTGTTTCTTTTTGGAAAAAGACCTGAAAGATTACCACATACTTCTCCTTCCAATGAAGCCTCTGACTGCTTCAATCTCACACTCTCCTCAATGTCCTCTAACTTCTTTTGATATTCCTCTATGACATTGGTTTTCCCGCCAAAAAGTCTAGAAAAACCAAGATTTGTACGCTTTTGCTGAGCTGGCGCTGATCTTAATTGAGTAACTCTTCTATACAATTTTTTAGCTTCAATCTAGATTAAAGAAATGGAAAAACAGGGATATCAGTTACATAATTCTCAAAAAATGAAACAGATATAGAATATCAAAGCCCCTAATCTGATCAACAATATAGGACCAACTATAAATATAATTCAAGATAATTGGATTTGGATTACCAGAAAAGCTATTTAAATTATAAATGATGCTTGAGCAGCAAATATGGTAATTTAAATTACTATGAAGATTTTTAGACCTGTAGTTGATTCCAGGAATTTACTTGCAAACAATTTCTCATTTATATTATAGACTATATTCAAAAGTAAACCTAACGAAAGTGGAAAGAAAAACCAACAATTATAACAGTCGTATGTGCTTCAATCACTCCCATATGGAAAGCAAATAGGTAGATATTACATCCAAGTTAGATCAATTATCTTCTACTGTTTGTTTGTCAATCTGAAACACTTAAGTCAATGGATCTATGAACACCAATGTCAATCCTGCATATATACTGAGAAGGTGCAAAGAAATTCCACGTCCTCACCCTCTGATAACTTAGAAGGTAGCAACTTAATCCTTTATGTTGTGTCAACAACAAAACCAATCTGGACTATATGATAAACACTTTTAACAGCTGCAAAATTATGGAATTTTGGCATACAGGCATATTTATCACAAAAATACATGCTTTTAAGGTTGTGATTGAGTAAAAAAACATGCTTTGAATTTTAAATAATATAGGATCCTAACATATCTACAAGATTCTAACACCATGGTTGAGAGGTGAAATCAATTAAGGAGAACGGAAACTAAAAATTAAACATGATCCTTACTAGGAGGCTATGAATTTTATTTGTTCGCCGAACAACCACATGTGACAGATACGTGGAAGGGTAAAGCTCACTAAAGAATTTCTCAACACTGTAACTGATGCTGCTAGAGGAGGTAGAGGGAATGCTGTGAACTAAAATGGTGAAATGATGAGGCTGAGGTTCAGAAGAATAAAAGTAGGAAATTCTTCTAGACGATATGTATTTATATTCCTGAAAATCAAAGGAACCAGAGATATGAGTAAGTAATTGAATTGTTGACTCATGTTATACATTTCAATAAATGAAGAAAATTAACGAGAAAAAAAAAAGCCCTTGTTATCAACCCTTGCATTAAGTCTGATGTACAATGCATAAAACTACTGGGATTGCAGAAGCCAGTTAGACAAAATATTTCCATTAGCTAAGGGATTCATGTCCTTACCAAAAAAAGTAGCATGCATATGAATCCACTAACAATATATACAGCACTGAAGTGAACCCATAACCTGAAACAAAATCATAAAGGATAACAATCTCATACAATTCTAATCCATGAGTAGGTAACAAAAGACCAATGCTGAAAAAAAAAAAAAAAAATCTCCAAAGGCTTTAAGTAAGCTCACTAAGCAAGCTCAATTGAAAAAAAAAAATAAAAAAAATCTTGAGTTAGTATTCACCACTGAGAGCCACTGTTTACATTTGATATAGTGAACACGTCCAAGGAGTTGTTGACAAAGTCCACAATATCAATATCTTTTAGCTGATTTCCCCAACAATTAACTGGAAGAATCACAAGAATCCCAATCATGCCAGCAAAGGTAAATATTTTCAAACTGCAAACATGAAACACGAGCACTCAGTCTACAATTTAAATAAGAGATGTTATTTAGATGCTTCCATTGTTTAGTTTTGGAAGGTTTGGATATGGAAAGGGGCGACACACAACAAAAGCTTACAAAACCAATAAATCATGAAGGTGGATGTACTATCACTTGATGAAGGGAATGATATACCTGAAGGTTATCATGCGCATAAACACCACACCATCTAACCCTGATAATGACAACAGTTCCTCCTCAGAAAGCCTCCAAGCTTTTGCAACCCAACCTGCAGAAGGAATTAGTCTCTCTAAGTTGAAACGACTCCTCCTCTTCGATGTTCCTTCAGCTAACAAGCGAGGCGCATAAACTTCATAATTGCTCGGTTGTTTCCTCAATATAGAATACAGTGTGAAGAACAACACACACAAAGCAGTGTTGATGCCAACAGATGTCAATAGCGCAGACACAATCATGTTTCCAAGGAAATATCAGTAACCAAGAAATTGGTGAATAAGCTGCTGCAAGAAACACAAACAATGGACACAAAGAATAAAATATTGTTCAAATTTGAGTTCATCATGAGCACAAAACATAGTAAGACAAAGAACATAAAGCAAACTCTGTAAATAAATAACTTAAGGTTAAAATACCCTTTTGGCTCATCTTATTTCTTATTTTCAGTATGGGCTTCTAAGCTTGAAAAAAAGAAAAACAGTTTATTTCTTAAATGATCTCTGTTGAACCAAGTTGATTATTCCATTAATTTATTTACCACGCTATCGCAGATAGCTTGGGAATAAACAGTTGAAAATTTCACATCATATGGGTGTTTGTGCGATAAACTATTGGAAGAAACAATTTCATTTAATATAAACACTTAAATGAACCAGAGTTAAACTTTTTCTACTTACAGAATTAGAGAATTAAACTGATCCTAAAAGATAATATCAGGGAGCAAAAGAGTATTATTAAGTCATAACTGATCACAAGATTATTTTAGTATAAACAAAGTTACAACAATTATCCTAGGTCCAATTTGCTGCATTCAATCATCGAGCAACCAATTTAAAACTGATACAATGCTGCAAAAACCCATAACGAATTCCTCAAAAGAGGAAAGTGAAATTTAAAATTAAAAGAAATGTAAATACACTTGAAATAGACGTTGACAAGCCATGAAATGAAAAAACCCAGATTCAGAAACTCCCAAAGTATGAGACTTTAATCACAATATGATTGGTGCACTCACTGAACAACAAAAATTGAGAGCACTTGGATGGCGATGTTGGAGACTTGGAACGAATAGCTGATATTATGAGTCAAGTTTTGCTGGGTTGACTAGAACTAGAGTGTGAGAAGGACCAACAGTTGAGAACGGAAAAAGAGAGGGAACAGAACAAAGATTACTCAAACCTGGTGGTCACGGAAGAACGGAGAAACACGCATCGAATTAAAACATGTGTCAGAACAACATCGGAACATGGACCAGCTTTGCCAACTACCAAATTAGTAAGACAAATACGTCATCTTTTGTCATTATGCAACTTTGAACGAAAGTAGATTATTTTCAAAAAATATATTGTTCATATAAAATATTTTATTTTTATTACAATTAATTTTTTTATAATCTTCTTTTGCTAATAATGATTCTATTTAATTTTTAATCATTACAGTTAACCAAATTGTTAGTTTTAACTCGAAATATTATTTGATGTATATGGTTTTAGATACTAAATGAGAAAATTAATATTATTTGAAAAATATAACGACATGTTATTGGTACCAAAAAGAGTATTTTTGGGTTTAAATAATTGAAACATGAAAGTTTGAATCAAAATTATTTTCGTGAAGAATCGAACTCAAGAAATAAATTACATTGTGAATGAGGAAAAAATATTCGAGAAATGTATATATATATATATATATATATATATATATATATATATATTAATTTATTTGAAGCAAATTAAAAATAAAATAATTTATATTTTATTGAGTAGTGAACATTATTTTGTTTAAAATACAATAATTTAGAAATAGAGAGAGTAATGAAAAATCTTATTTTATGAAAATCCATTATTCAAATTTTCTATTTTCTAAATGATAAAGTATGTAATTAAAGTTGAAAATTTTGATCTAGATAAACTAATAAAGTATGGGAGTGATGAAAATATTTTAAATTTCAATTTTGAAAATTTTATATGATTAATTGATTTTACATCTAAAAATTAGTATTTTGTTTTGGGTGTGGAGTTGAACGGTCGTTATATAGTACAACACTCAACCAATGGCTTGCAATAACTCGTTGACGGTTTGCTTTGACAATTTATGCAATATTTTAATTTTCGTATATTTTTTAATAAGATATATTTTAAAGTAGAGTAATATATTTAGTTATGATTTTATACCTAGATTAAATATTAAATCTAGATATTGGTTAACGAATCAAATGCTGAAATGTTAAAATATTGATTGATGTGAAAGGTTATTTATTTGTTGTTGTTTTTTTCATTTGTATTGACTAATAGAGTTCTAGAATATTGGGTTTGAACAAAAATTGCGTTTGAAATTGTAAAATAATAATAAATAAATAATCAACCACATAACATGAAGTAACATAATTATAATTAACACAAAAGACATGGTCATTGGCCCTACATTAATTGCAAAATAATAATAATTATTATTATTGAAATATGGCAGTTTAATCGAAATAGATTGAATTAGATGGGATTAAATTTATATAAAAAAAATCATATGAAATAATATACCTTTAATTTATAAAGGTGCTAGACTGAATTATATACATAAATATGCATGTTATATTCTATATAAAAAATATATTGTTTTACATTATTATATAGACTTAACTATATATTTATTACTAAACTTTTATAGTTGTAGATCTTATTATTTAACTTTAAATTTAGTGAATTATATAATTTTAATTTTAAAATTATACATATTTGAGTCAAATCATCGTACTTTTAGCAAACTGAAATCCAATTGATAGAAAGATAAATATATATAATTTTGAAATTTAGATGGTACAATCTACGAAATAAAAATTGTAATTTTGCAAAAAGTTATTGGTAGAATATGTAATTTAAAATATTATATATATTCTATCCAGAGCTTGTTACATTTTTAGTAATTTCACCGTCAATTAATGATGAGATAAAATATGTATAATTTTAAATTTTAACAAACACGTTTAAGCTCAAATTTTGTCATCTAAGCCCTACATTTAATCATAGAGCTAATTAATCTGATCTAATTTAACTAATTATTCTTTCAAGAAGATAACAAGTGCCATAATCTCCCATCTTAATATATATATATATATATATATATATATATATATATATATATGTTTAAAAATAAATAGATAAAAGAAAATATGTGTATATGATCTCTTAAAATAAATAATCAATTGTATTATTTATTAGTAATAATAAATTTTTAATGAAAAAATAATAAAAATTCTTATTATGATTATTTTAAATTAAAATTAAAATTATAAATATAAAATATAATAAATAATAAAAGATAAATAATAATAATAATAAAAATAAGATAAAAATAATAAAATATTATTATTTAAAATCGATATGATTAATATAATATAAAGAAAAAAATAAATTTATTATATTTTTTATGAAATAATTATAAAATTTTAATTTTAATTTTTTTTATTAAGATTGATTAGATAAAAAAGTAATTAATTTTTTCGACTTAGTTTAAATTTAATTATTTAAAAATAACGATTCTAATTAAATTGATTAAACTTGATGGTTGGATTTTCAAAACAATGATTAAGAAAATATAACTTGTAATTTTCAAAGATAAAATAATTCACATTAGGCAAAAGAAGTTTTAAGGTGAATTTGGTTTGACTTTGTAAAACCAAGAATTCACTGTTGACTTGTACCATCCATCAGCAACCGTTAACTAACATACTCAGCATCCATACCACAGCTTCCGAACCGAACCTCAGGCTACCCTTCCCTGCGGTTGGTGAAATAACAGTTCATTCGGTGCCAAAGGAAACTTGCTCGCTCTCGTTCCTTCCCCACCTCACGTTTCCCACGAACATTTTTCACTGTTAAAACCAACACACCCAAAAATTCAATCTTGTTCAGATCAGATCCCTCGCACCCTTTTCCATTCAAACTAAGGTAAAATCGAATCATCCACCACCTTGCACTGATGCAGTTTCTTTTGTTTCTAATTTCCAATTTTCGTTTTTCATTGTTCAATTTTGATTTCTTCCTCTTTTTGAAAAAGGGTGTGGCAAGATGAGTGAGGTCTTCGAAGGGTACGAGCGCCAGTACTGTGAGCTCTCTGCTAATCTCTCCCGCAAATGTAGTTCTACCTCTCTTGTTTCTGACCAAGGTAATCCTAATTTAATTGTCGTTCGATTCACCCCTTTTGTCGTTTACCTCTTTTTCTTTGTGCGTTTTGGTGTCTCGTACTGCCTCTGTTGTTTTCTTGCTCTTATTAGTACGGAGCGCATCGTAGGATGCATGTCTGACTCTGGAGTTTGTCTGTTGGGAAATTGATTTTCTCGTAGCTGAACCCTTCATAAATCATGACTACAATAAAGAAAACTAGGGTTTATTATCCAAAATTTGTTGTACTAGAGATAATTTGAGTGTCAAGATGTGGTCATAGCAAGTAAAAGTCGTTATTTTGTGTTGCTGCTATATGATTTTGTGCTACTGCTATATGATTTGATCTATATGATTCGATGAAGTATCCTATATTGTTTATCAGTTGGGTTGATAATATTATCGGGTCTAGTCAAGTTCTTGGAATTCTCTGATGTTTGCTGGTTGTGTTGTCCTATACTGTGATACCCTGTGACTCGATTTGTTCATGTGTTTCTTTTGTTAAAAATAGTGTTCACTTTCTCGTTGAAAGTGAAAACTTAAAACAAATTTTCTGGAGGAGGTGGAGGATTTTATTTACTGTGCTGTGTGTCTGATGTTTCCTGCAGCCTGCTAATGTGTATGATGGCTTATTGTTTAATTTTAAATTTTGTTTACTGATTTTTTTTAATCAACACTATTTCAGAACAGAAGGTGCAGAAGTTTTCTGAGATCAAAGCGGGACTAGACGATGCTGATGTTCTGGTACTAAGATGAATGTTTTCTTAAGTGTTTGTGCTTTGTTTCTATAGGTATTATCTTCTATTCATTTTTTATATCGCCCTTCTCCCTTGCCAGATTCGGAAAATGGACCTTGAGGCAAGAAGTATGCAGCCAAGTGTAAAGGCAATGCTTCTTGCAAAGTTGAGGGAGTACAAATCCGATCTAACCAACTTAAAAAAGGAATTTAAAAGGCTAACATCACCTAATGCTGATGAGGTTGCCCGTGAGGAATTGTTGGAGACTGGAATGGCAGATGCTCATTTGGTATGTTTAGAACCCTAGATTGTATTGCTTGATGACATCCTTTTCTTTAAAAATAGCACAAAGAGTTTGTGGCTTTCTTGGTTAAAGATATGAAATGTGTTTTCTTCTCTTTGGATCATGAATGAATATATCTTGACCTGTTAATCAACATAACTGCTAGAAATATAACAACAATATATTAAAAGCTTTCCTGTATCTTCACTTAAACTTTTTGGAAGGTCAGTCCGTGCATGGTATCAAAGCTTTTATGATCAAGTGGTCTACAGTTTGAAAATAAAAAGTTTAGTTTCAGTATGAGATATAAAACCATTAGTTTCTCTTCACCTAGGAACTTAAGCTTTTAGGATAGTTGGTTCATGATAGTAACTGCCATTAAGGCATTTCAAATAGCCATCTTTTTGGTTGAGATATCGTGGGAAATATTGTTGAGGTATTTGATATAATTCCAGAATTTCTGTCCATTAATGTGTTTAAGGAAATTATACTATCTTTCTATAATTCTATTATTTCTAAGGTAGATTCATTCTTGTCTTTGATTTTAATCCCTAAATTTATGAGCTTGATTCTCTTAGCTCTGTATATAATATAGTATTGTTACCATGATATAAACACACCATTCTTTAATGTCAACATGGTATTAGAGTGATACAATCCTTTCATGTCCTGTCCCATCATACTTCATTGCTAAGCTCCCTAAAATTCAGAGTTCTACTTTAATTTCATGACTATTCTTGGAAGTTATCACGTGCTGTGTCAACCCTCCAACGTCTTGTGGCATTTTAACTCCCCTTCCTTAAGTTATTCTTTCCTACTCCCTCTTCCAGTTATGTTATTCATTCCAACCATATCTTCCACCATCTTAGCTTCCACATGCTAGTGTGTTTCACACAATTTCACCGCAATGCATTTTATTGGCATATTTCAAATCAAACACATTTTTGGCCACCTTTGTCTTCCTTTTAGTAGTCCTTCTTCTGTTCTTTATTTTGATAATCTTTTTCATTGGTTTCTTCTACCCGTGACATCTCTGGTGTGCTCCAACACTCATGTTTCTGTCTTTATTCCTATCTATTCCGCCATTTGTACGCATGTTTCAAATAATCTTTGTTCATTGTAACCAATCCCATTGTGTCATCATTCTGACAGATTTCCTTTTTTTGGCTCAAGTCATACACTATAAGACCAGAGACATCAATCTACTCACATGACATTACCAAAAGAATCAGTTGGCCCTACTAGAGTGATGTAGGTTGACTTTAGTTCTTTGCAATAGGGTGTTGGATTACTTAAGAAAACCTAGAGAAAATTCCCATTGGACATTAAGATAGCAAACTATCTAGATGTGAAGGTGCATTTCCAACGGTTCAAGAAAAGAGTGAATGAAATTAATATTGATTAGCAAACAATACGTGAACAAGGAGTAAAAATAGAAAAAAAGAACAATAAAATGTAAGATATAGAAGATGATGATGGTGAGGAATCACGCCACTCTTTGGACAAAGACCCTAGTAGGCATACCAAGTCAAGAGATAAGTGGTGAAACCGCCACTTGCTTAGGAGCAAGATAAGGTCATGGAGTCTCCACCCTAGGGAGAAGATGCTCACAAAAATATGGTTGGACAAAGGAGTATTTTGATTTCAAATGTTCAACCCCTACAAAGAAGAAGAAGCACCCCTTAAATAGATAGTCTTGGGGGCTTCTTAGTAAGTAACAAAAGTTCTAAAAGGGTACATTTGCAAACCCTAAAAAGTATCTTTTACAAACCTAACATGAAAGCAAGGAAAAAGACAAATGAAATGTTGGACTTCCTATGGTGATTCTTGGCTAAGACTAAGGAGGAGACCACATTTGTCTCATTCACCACCATAAAGCACCTTTCTCTTTATGCTTTATGCATTATGCTTTCCACCTCATGCACATATGGTCCAATCCTAGCTTGCCATGTGAAAAGTCCTAACCATCCTCTTAATTCATGCTTAACTTACAAGACACACAAATGAAACTAGATTAGCAATATTGACTTGGGTCAAGTCAACTCTAGTAAAAAAGTCAACCCAAGTCAAGGTCAACAAGTCAACTAAAATGAACTCTACTCAATTCAACTTAGGGAATTCAAGTTAAGCTAATGAAAAATAAAGATAGAGTAGAACTAGAAGACTCCCCTCTTGTCATGCCTTCATCATAAAGTCTTAAATAATCGTCAGTCCCTTTATTCTTTAATCTCATATTATGTAGTTTGATTTCTTCTATTTAAAGGGTATATTTGATACAAGCTTAAAGCTTAACTTGAGGGGGTATGCGAAGATATTACAGGAAACATTGCTGAGATATTTGGTATATTTGGGAAAATGTTGGCCGGTAGCGTAATCTGGGTAAAATTTTCTCTTTCCATGATTTCTAAAGATTGAACGCGTCTAATTCCTAAATTTATGAGATTGATTCTGTCAGTCTTGTGTATAAGATATAGGTATATTACTGTTATAATGAAATAAATACATCATTCTTTAGTTTCTACATTTTTTCTTTGTTGAAGGTTCGTGTAATTACAGCATGAGATAGGTGGACCTGTCCATTAATCCGTCTTTAATCCATTAAAAGTTTAATTAAAAATCTGATCCAATCCTATTCATCCACAAAAGTCTAATTCGATCCATCTATTTAACAATTTTTTTTATGGATGGATATCCCATCCATAAATATAAAAAAATATATTTTTAAAACTGTATTTAAAAAAAAATAAAAAATAATTTTTGTAAAACAAATTTAAAAATATATTGTCTAAATCTTAAAAAAAAAAAAGTAAGAAAGATTTAATTATGAAAAAAATTGTTGGATTAATTTTGATCTGTTTAGTATTTATAGAAGGATCCGATGGAGTTTTGATAAATAATAGATGAATCATTAACCATCAATGAAATTAATTTGATCAGATCCTTTTTTTTATATATATTTTTGTGATGTTGGATGAGATGACATTTCTTATGGATGAATTGGATGGATGGCAGATAAATGAATTATTTTGCCTTGTCTAATGATCATTGAGAGGGTTATGCCCGTGATGAGAATATGACTGTCTGTTTCTTGCAAAAAAGGTTGCAGACGTGTGTATATGCATATCTTGGGCCCAGTTTAAACATATTGAGATTGCTGTTTAAATGCATATTATCCAGTGCTCTGTTTGGCCTTATACCGTATATTTGTTTTCTGAATTTTGAATTAGTATATGCTTTTGAAGTTGGTTGCACTTATAAGCCAAGTAGTGAAGCAGTTCTGATGATGCAGTTAATCTATTGTTTGGTGGGGGGATAAAATTTCAGGCTTCTGCTGATCAGAGAGAAAGATTAACTATGTCTGTGGAGAGATTAAACCACTCAGGTGAGAGAATAAGGGAGAGCCATAGAACCTTGCTGGAGACTGAAGAACTTGGTGTCTCCATCCTCCAAGATTTGCACAATCAGAGAGAGACTCTTCTGAACTCCCATAAAAGGGTATGTTGATATGTGAAAGCTATTTCTTAAAATTGAATACTCTTTATGTTAACTTTAGGTAGTTTTAGTCCTTTTTTCATTCACTAGGGGAGAGTCATGAGTTGATCTTATTCTCTGAGGAGTATTAAAACTAATCATGACACTTCTTCCTTGGGGATTAAGATTGTGAGCCTCCTTCAACATAACCAGTGTAATATAGAAGTTGTGATGATTGTTGGTTGATGGTAATTTTTCCTTGCCTTGCAGCTTCATGGGGTAGATGATGCTATTGACAAGAGCAAGAAGGTTTTAACTACCATGTCACGGAGAATAACTAGAAACAAATGGATCGTTGCATCTGTGATTGGAGCGCTTGTTTTTGCTATAGTTGTTATTCTTTTTTACAAGCTATCTCGTTAGCTTATATGTACACACTAGATATGACAGCATGGAAGCAGTGTTTAATGCTTTAATGTACTTGGTTGTATATAGGAAACGCATGGACATATGTGGCGCTATCATATCGCTGCAATTATTTCTCCATTGTTATTTTTAAGATTGGAAAGTTTTCAATGATACCTTGCTTTTTTATGCTCTTCATTATGTTTTTATTTTGAACTGTAAGAACAATTACTTAATGCAAGTAATTTTGTTCAAGTATGCTCCTCTTATTACATGATGCTTTTCTAGTAGCATTTCTGAAGTTAATGAATTCCAAATCTTTGCCTAATGCTGTATGAGTGCCTTGTTCATTGCCTTGTCTTCAGTTTGATGCTGCTAAAGAGTGTTTATATTCGTGGAAATGAGAAAATAAAGCAAAGAAACTTTCCCGAATATGCAATTTCTATGTGATTATATATATATATTTGTAAAATTTATTAAAATAAACAAAAACAATTTTAGAAAAGGTAAAAAATAAACTTTCCTCAAGTTTAAATAAAATTAGTAAAAACTCTACTAAATGTCAGTATTGTTATTTTGTTTTGCTCATTTTACTTAAATTCCGATTTGTCGGCAGTGACCCCATGAAGAATCTTACTTCTCGTTTTACTTTTATTAAACTTCATTTTTCATTGAAAAATGAACTTTAATAACATTCAATTTTCAAAATTATTACACAATCATTTGATTCGTATGTTAATTTATCATAATTAAGTTCTATCACTAAATTTCATTTCATAAAACAAAGAATTTAGTATTTGTAACAACGCTTATTATTGAAAATCACTCCTTTAGTTCAAATATATTATAATATAAAAAAACTATTATTATACTAGTTGAAAAGGTGAATAAACATAATTTTATTATATTAATAATCATATTTAAAAAATAAACTTTCTTTGAAACTTGATAAAAAAAAACATTTAGAAGAATAAAAAAATCTCAATTAATGGAAGAGTACTTTTTCATGGTATCCTTGAGTTAAATAAAATAAAAAATAGTCAAAATTTACTTATATCTAAGTCTATTAAAAAAATTTGTTTTTATGATTGAGTAAGGAGAGAATATTCTTTCGAAACTAAAATATAAATTACATTAATTAAAAAAGTGAATTAATATTATTTAATTCTATAAATGACATTTTATTTTTCTCAAAATGTCTTTTAATTAAGCTTGATCTCGAGAATAACATGATTTTTTTTAGAATTTTAATTAATTATAATAATATAATTAAACAAATAAAAATAGTTGAAATTTATTTTGACTCATGATTATTGGGAGAGAGAATAATAAAAAACGGTGGATGTTAAGAATAGCGTGTAATAGTTTTAGTATGATCCATAAATGAGGGAGTAAGTAGCAGCGATAGGAACAAAAATGGTTGGGTGGCGTAAATAACAAACCAACCATGTAATGTACGTGTACAGAGTACAAAATGATCACCAACTCAAGAAGAAGAAGAATCGAACTGAACTTGGAACAAAGAAGATCCACGTGGACCCCACTTAACAAAAAAAATCTCCCGATTTCACAAATTCAACTCAAACTTTTCCTTTTTTTTTTTTTTCTTCCTAAATTCTCTCCTCTCTTCTCAGACCCAAGAATCAATCCAATCGATTTTAATTCTCATGGATTCCCTTCCTTCTGTGTCGCCCTCCATGGTCCTCCCTCCCAGCCACCCTTTCCGCCGTCTCCCTCCGCGGCTCCTCTCCGCCCGAACCCGAAGCCGTCGCCGCGTGTCCATCTCCTGCAGCCTCGCCGGCGACGGCACCGACGACGACCTCGACAGGGCTCTCCACATGGATGGCGCCATTCCCGGCACCTCCAACGAGTTCGTCAAACGCGTCTCCTCGCGCGCCTACGACATGCGTCGCAACCTCCAACAGTCCTTCGATTCCAGCAGCTACGATGGTACCACGCCCACCTTCTCTTCCATTTTCTTTTCTCAAACCAACTTTACCTCTTCTTATTATTAGGTTAAACTATTCATTTGTTTAGTTACTATAATTGTTCTCATTTCAATTTTCTGAGAAAACATGAAGTTTTCAGTCTCTAAACACTTTTTTTTTTGCTACTGTTTATAGCTGCTCGTTTTTTGCATCGGTTTACACTACCAGAAAGAAAGATTTTTTCTCGAATGTATGCTATCTGAAAAATTTAATGTTCATATTTATGGTAGAAAATTTTTATTAGTTGATGATGAATTATCATTGTCCAAATTCACATGACACCTAATCGAGTGTGGTTTCTCCGAGATTGTAAAATTTAAATATATTGCAATAAACATTGGTTGGGATCATAGACACTATTTTTGTTTTTTTATCAATAGGAATTGAACATGTATAAGAGTTAAAATGTGTAGATTTTTTTATACATGGACTAAAAATGAAAATGGAATGGACCGTAGTGACCAAGTGAATAATTTTTTATTTATTATTATTATTATTATACCTCAAAAATTAACTTTTATCCATGTGTAGGGATTAGAATTTACAGTTTTCTTGCATCAGCCTCAAGGACTCAAACTTAAAATAAAGATCATCATAATGACTAAGTGCATGGTTTAATGTTATTATTGTCGTTAATGTGTTGTTTATGTTTTCCTTAATTTTTCATCAGTTTTAGATGCCAACCCTTGGAGAGAGACTTCAAAGCCTGTGTATGTACTCACCCACAAGGAAAATCAGTTGTGTACAATGAAAACCCGCAGAAATAGAAGGTTGGGTTGATTAGTGATTCGATGTGTTCTGTGCTTTCTCTCTTAGGTAGTGTTTGCCATTTCTCCTGGCTGAGTGTTCTTTTTCTTTGACAGTGAGGTTGAAAGAGAACTTGGATTGTTGTTTTCTAAAGGAGGCAAGTGGGGATCTGGAATTGGAAATCAGTCCAAACAGGCGAGGGGAGGGACTAATAAGTTTCAAATGCTTGTGGAAGATGTTAGAGAGGGAGTACTGGTATGTGCTCTATAACACATGAAATTGTAATTCATGCGAAAATGTTGAAATATTATGATATATGTTCTTCCCTTTTGTGTGAATTCAATCGTCATATGGTGATTCAATTACTTTGTTTAGTGCAAAGCAGGACGCAGGGATAAAATGCAGTTCTTTATGTACTTTTGGGACCATTTTCCTGTTAGAATTGGCGTAAGGTTTTAAAAAAGGATCTGCAACTGAGATTTCAGTCACAACCTCAATGTTTTGAGGTGTCCACGGTTACAATTGTGACCACATCAGTTGCATTTATTCGTAATTTCTCACTATATCAAGAAATCTGACCAAACCGTGACCATAATTTAAAATCTTGAATTGGCATTTCACCGATCTCTCAGGCAACTTTTCCTCTACATATCATGAAGGTGAAACTCCAATTTTTTATTGAAGAACAACATAAAAAATATCCGAAGAAGTACATCTAAGTTCTGTCCCCAAATGCAATGAAACAATCTTGTGTCTATAACATATTACATGGTTTATTGTAATTTTCAATCTATTCGAACATAATTTAATCACTTACAATATGACAATATATGGTTGCAGGTATTTGAAGATGAACATGAAGCAGTAAAGTATTGTGACTTGCTAGAAGGAGGTGGTCAAGGTTGTGAGGGTGTTGCCGAGATTGAAGCCTCGTCGGTACAAATAGCTAACCAATTATTATTTGTCACTTATTCTTTCTGTTGCTTGAAAACAATACACCACAACATTTACTTTGTTCTTGCAGATATTTGATCTTTGCCAGAAAATGAGGGCTCTTGCAGTTTTATTCCGCAGAGGGAGGACACCTCCTCTGCCTGAAAGTCTTAAACTCAATCTGCGAGCTCGTAAAAGGTCCCTTGAAGATCATGATGATTTGATGTGAAATTCTTATTCCCTTTTAATGAGAGGGAAGCAACTGTGCCGATTGCTAATATTCATAGCCCCCAAAGGAACAAAATATGTATATTGATAGATATTCATTCATCATATAATTGAAAATAATATAGCATGTATATGATTGTCCAATGCTTATGCCCAATGTATATGATAACCAGAAAAATCTATACGGTTGTCCAATGCTTGTGTTCAAAATTACAGTTTTCTCTGAAAATGCTAATCAACTTATAAAGCTTAAGAACTTAAATTATTTTAATGATCAATTATATGCATAATTGATTATTGTTAAATTCAATTTTGTTTGGATAAGTCATGAAAAGATGTTTAAAATAATTAATTTTGTTTGAATGTGTTGAATATAGAAGAAATAGAGTTTGTGATTAATTTTCCTTGTGTATAAATCACACATAGGATAATCTATTTATAATTTATTTATAATAGAGAGATACAACTAAAAAAGTAATTGAAAGTAACAGAATAAATAAAAGATATTGTTTGATGTTGTGGTTAACAATATCTAACAATATCTTAACAATATCAAATAATATCTAACACTCTCCCTCAAGCTAGAGCATACAAATCGTGTCAAGCTTGTTACAAATATAATCAATTTTAGGTTCCCGTAAAGATTTAGTAAAAATATCTGCTAACTGATCACTTGAATTAACAAACTCAGTCTTGATGTCTCTAGACATAATCTTTTCTCGAATGAAATGACAGTCAATCTCAATGTGTTTGGTCATCTCATGTAAGACCGGATTAGAGCTAATATGAAGAGCAGCATGATTATCACACACAAGTGACATTTGAGTGACATCTCCAAATTGTAACTCTCTAAGCAATTGATTGAGGCAAACAAGTTCACAGGCAGCTGATGCCATATCTCTATATTCTACTTCTGCACTAGATCTTGCCACAACACTCTGTTTCTTACTTTTTCATGAGACCAAGTTACCACCAATGGAGACACAATATCCAGATGTAGATATTTTATCCGAAGGAGATCCTGCCCAATCAGCATCTGAGTAGCAAATAACTCTTATATGATTATAAGAATCATATAACAATCATTTTCCAAGAGATCCTTTAATATACTTTAAGATACGAATGACTGCATTCCAATGATCTTCACATGGGGAATAAAGAAATTGGCTTACCACACTGACTGCAAAGGAAATGTCAGATGAGTAACTATAAGATAATTCAATTTTCCAACCAATCTTTTATACTACTCAGAATTAGGTATAAACTCCCCCTGATTTGGTATTGGGATCCATGGGTGTATCAACAGACTTTAAACTCATCAACCCAGTTTCCTCCAAAATATCCATGGCATATTTCCTCTGAGATATAACAATACCATCATTGGACTGTGCCACCTCAATACCCAAGAAATATCTAAGTTTGTCAAGATCTTTGGTCTGAAAATGGTGACAGAGATGTTGTTTCAACTGAGAGATGTCATGGTTGTCACTACCTGTAAGAACGATGTCATCAACATATACTATCAAGTAAACACATTTAGCACTCGAGTGTCGATAAAAGACAGAGTGATTTGCTTCACACCGAGTCATACCAAATTGTTGAACAACCTTACTAAACTTTTCAAACCAGGCCCTAGGAGATTGTTTTAGGCCATATAGAGATTTATGAAGACGACATACCATCCTAGAAGACTCCTACTGAGCAACAAACCCAGGAGGTTGCTCCATATAAATTTCTTCTTGCAAATCAACATTGAGGAAAACATTTTTAACATTTAGTTGATAAAGAGGTCATTGTTGAAGAGCGACCATGACGATAAATAAATGAATATAAGTCATCTTTGTCAAGGGAGAAAAAGTATCTCCATAATCCAACCCAAAAATTTAAGTATAACCTTTGGCCACAATACGAACTTTGAGGCGATCAATAGTACCATCAGGTCCAACTTTGATAGCAAACACCCACCTGCAACCAACAAACCAATATAATGGGGAGAGAGATTACGTGTAGTACGGATACCTTTTCGGAGGGCAATGAGAAGGTTAGACTCATGTGTCACATCCGGAGGAGACATAGTAGTTGAACTTGAGTGGAGTCACATGATGGTGGTTGTGATTGGTTTCGGCAACTATAAATCTAAAGAGGCAGTGAAGAAGAAGCTGACTGTGAAGCAGAAACTAATGGTGAAGAAGACACAGTTAGAGGGTCACAAACAACAAGAACATTAAATGTACTAGGAGTGATGACAAGATTGGATGGAGACAGAGGTGAAGATTGACTTTTAAAATAAAAATAGAACTCATCGAAGGTGACATCTGCAAACACAAAATAACGGTTAAGAGAAGGAGAAAAACATTTGTATCTTTTTTGTGATCTTGTAAACCCTAAGAAAACACATTTATGTGATCTAGGAGAAAATTTGTCAAGACCAGAACTGAAATTATGAACAAAACATGTAGACCCGAAAACTCTTGGAGGTAAGGGATGAAGTGATTCATGAGGGAATAAAATGGAATGAGGTATTTTATTATCTAAAACTGAAGATGACATGCGATTAACGAGATAACATGCAGTAAGAAGAGCATCACCCCAAAAATGCTGAGGAACCTCTCCATGAATTAAAAGAGTGCGAGTTGTTTCAATAAAATGTCTATTTTTACGTTCAGCTACACCATTTTGTTGAGGTGTATAAGCACAAGAAGTTTGATGCAAAATACCATGAGAAGCCAATAATTGTTTAAAAAAATGAGAAAAATATTCACGACTATTATCACTGCACAAAACTCTAATAGAAACACTAAACGGAGTTTGTATTTCATTAAAAAAAGATTGAAAGATATGAAATACTTCAAAACGATTTTGGCACATGTTTCGTAGGAACGAAAAATTTGTTTTAACGAAGGATCAATAGTACCCTTGAGAACCACACATAATTGAGCATCAATGGTGTCCCAACGGTCTTCCTCACCAGGAGTGAGAGTAGGTGCTTTCGGGGCAAGATGATCAAGATACTTCTGCCTCTTAAGCCATAATCTGACGTCGACCATGTGGCATAATTAGGGTCAGTTAACTTGTCAATGGATAAGTGCGCATTAATATATTTAGTGTAGATGGAAGGATTAGACGCAATACTAATAGAATTAGAAGTACTAGAAGGAACGGAGGAAGTCATAAAGGGTGGAGGCGGTGGAGGCGACAGTGACAACGACGTGAACTAGTACATCAGGTAAGTTCCCAGGAAGTCACTAATGGACACGCTTAAATACCAAGTTTTTCTTTATCAGAACCTTCCTAGACATGCACTTTCATACTACCAAATAATATCCATTAACAAAAATAACTCTTTTCTGATGTGGAAGATCAGTTTAAGCGGCAGTGGTGACGGCTCCAACAGTGGTCAAATGCAAAAAAATTTCAAAATAATCTTAAGCTCTAGATACCGTATTGAATATAAAAGAAATAGAGTTTGAGATTAATCTCCTTTGTGTATAAATTACACATAGGGTAATCTATTTATAATAGAGATACAACTAAAAGAATAACTAAAAGTAACAGAACAAACAGAAGATATTGGTTGATATCGTGGTTAATAATATTTTAACAATATCAAATAACATCTAAATAATATATAAGAGAATGAAAAAAAAACATTAATTTTCAAATGTACAGAGTTGAGAGAGAAAAGGTTTTTTTTTTTTAGTTGTATATTATTAATTTCTAAATTTACGAAAATAATTTATTTTAAAAGAAAAAAGTTTTGCTAAATTTTAGTTTATTTTTTAACGTCTAATTTATCTTATAAACAAATTATTTTTAACTAAGCAAATAATATTAAAGCAAAGAAATTATCTTAAGCATGTTGCTATCCTTATATCGATTATGGATCAAGATTAAATCCACATTGTGTGTACAAAATGTTTTGGACGTTGCTTACCTGTTGGAATATTAAATACTATTGGATAGACCCTAATTTAGTTCTATAAGTGTTAATCTTGAACTAACTTATTTAGTTCCAGAACTGTTTACAAATTAGATTAAAATAAAATAAAATAAAATAATGCTTTTATACATTACCTACCAATACGGGTGGTAAGACTTTGGGTAGGTCCTTCAAAAATAAATTCTGATATGTTTTTTCTTTAAGTACTTGTAGGAGAGAAAATAAAGGAAGCAAAAATTATATAAATGAAAAATATGAATTTTAAAAATTTATATAAAAGAGTTTTTATAAATTAAATTATACCTAAATTTAATGTATGAAGAATTTTTATTATTTATTTATTTATTTTCTTTTAAAAATGTTCAGAGTGAAGTTTGTCCATATATACTTAATATTATAAACATCTTTAAGTAATGGGGTATCCACAATACTTTTTATTATATAGTTTTGACTTGACATATATAACAAAATATGATAAAATAAAATAGGAAATAGTCAGATAAGTTATTAAATTTGCATTATTTTGTCATATTAACCATAAAATATAATTTCAGTAACTAAGTTAATTCTTTAGTTTAAAATAAAATTATCCCATGTGGTGGATGAGCACGAGCAATTTCTTAGTGAGTAGTGAACAAAAGTTGTCCACTGCAAAGTACAAAATTTGACATTGAACTAGTGCGAATCAGTAAAGTATGATTATACATTAAAATAGTAAAAGAAGCACCAAAGAAGTCGTACAAAAACAGGATATACCCCACACCTGATCCCAACAAGAAAAACAGAAAAATGCTTCAATGTGAAGATAATATTTAAAAATAGAATTTAATAGCGATTTTCATTGATTAATCTGTTATGCACTTGAATAAATTCCAAATATTATAATAAATTCATTAGTTCAATGAAAAAAAAAACTGTTGAATTAGTAAACGTAGAATAACTAACAAAACTGACGAGAGCCAAAAACTTCACAATCACATAACAGCGAACCATTTTCTGATCCTCAACATCGTTTGCGTGCGCATTTACATTTGCATTTGATTTCCGCGTTGCAACCGGGGAGGGCAATCGGCGATGAGCAGCGGCAGCGGTGGATCGTCCGCCACGGGGGCCAAGGAGAAAGAGAAGGCTCGGGTGAGTCGAACGTCGCTGATTCTGTGGCACTCGCACCAAAACGACCACGCGGCGGTGCAGAAGCTTCTCGAGGAGGATCCATCTCTCGTGAAGGCTAGGGATTACGACAACCGCACGCCGCTGCACGTGGCTTCGCTCCACGGCTGGGTCAAGGTTGCTAGTTGCTTGATCGAATTCGGTGCTGACGTCAACGCTCAGGATCGTTGGAAAAACACTGTACTCTGTCTCTTTCTCTCTCTCAATGCATGTTGTGTTATGATTGATACGTTAATTATAGATGTTTTTAATTTTTCTGACAAATAATTTAGTGTTGTTTCGTTCTGGAAAGCCTCTCGCTGATGCAGAAGGAGCTAAAAGATTGGCGATGATTGAGCTTTTGAAGTTACATGGAGGCTTGTCTTATGTAAGTACCTTACTTCTCTCTCTCTCTCTTCAATGGAAGGGGCATTTTTTGTAACAATGAAAATAGAAATGTGAAACAGGTCTATTAACCAAGACTGACACAGATTGTTCGAGCTTGATAAAATGATCTTTCGTTCGCGTCATGATTACATAGTTCTGTAAAAAGTAATACCACATTCCAAAATAATGCAATATTAAGTGAAGTTCTTACCTTCCGATGAAGCATTAATTTTTGTTCTTTTTAATATGTCCTAAAACCAATTACTTTTTCCTTATTCAAAGTAATGTATTTATGGAAGAATGCGTTTGTGATACTAATGTGTATATGTTGATGAATTTGATGTTTGATTACGCAGGGCCAAAATGGAAGTCATTCTGAACAGAGACCTGTTCCTCCCCCATTGCCTAACAAATGTGACTGGGAAGTTGACCCCAATGAACTGGACTTCTCAAATTCAGTTTGCATTGGAAAGGTGTTTTCTGCACTTTCTTGATGTCGTTGGCATTGTATTGTATCAAGATCTTACCACGAATGTTAGAATAAATGGTATAAGGAATTGTATCTTTATCATAGATCGTATCGTATGTGAGTATAATTGTTGAGTCTTTAATTGTCAATCGTCATGATGATAATATGATCAGTTATTATTTTTAATTTCTTTGCCTTGGTTCTTCAAGTTATTTTAATTTCTGTATACAATGTGTTTCTTGCTTTCTCTACGTGGTTGCCGTACTGCTCGTGTAATTTTATTTTTACTTTGCATTTATACTGTTGATTAACCAAATCTGCCCATGAGGTTTGGTCTTATTGTGGATGTGTTTCGTGAAGGGATCTTTTGGGGAGATTTTAAAAGCCCATTGGCGTGGAACACCTGTTGCCGTCAAACGTATTCTTCCATCTCTATCAGACGATAGATTGGTGATGTAAGATCCTTTATTTAATTTCTAGAACATGATTTGATTTAACAGATTATGGGTGATGTAAAGGTCTTCAGGTTGCCTCAGATTGATCAATATGTTAAAACAAATACCTTACGATCTGTTTTCTGTCAAGGCTTACTTGAGGCTACAGGTAAATCCACTTGGAGCCTGAGAAGACAGATATGGTCCTCCACAAAATTTCTGAAATTTGTTTTTTGTAAATTTGACTTTTACGTTTACTTTTTTTAATATTTAAAAAATTAACTTATCCTTCCCAAACTAAAATTGTCTAATTCTGGACCTCCTAGCTATGGTAACCATTTCAATAACTGAACTTTTTCTTGTGATGATGTTTGTTTTGTTTGAATTAGCGACCTCTTTAGGGCAAAATGATTTACTTTAAAGCCTATGTATAATCAAAATCCTAATGAAGTAGTGAATAATGAAAAGAAAGAGAAGGCAATACACAGACAAACTTGTGATTAAGCTTGTGTATTTTCAAAAATCGTCCATTTTTTCTATCTTACACTTTTCAGTTACTTTCCTTTTCTTTTTGTTTATTACTTCTTAATACAGTCAGGACTTCAGGCACGAGGTTAATTTACTTGTGAAGCTTCGGCACCCTAATGTTGTTCAATTTCTTGGAGCTGTTACAGACAGGAAGCCCCTTATGTTAATTACTGAGTATCTAAGAGGAGTACGTGAATGCATATAATATAACTAGACACCTAGGCTCAGATGCTCTGAACTTACGAACACTTGTGTTAAACCTTCTTAAATATCTATTTTGCGCCATTTATAGGGCGATCTTCATAAGTACCTCAAGGACAAAGGTGGTCTTAGTCCATCAACAGCTATCAGCTTTGGCTTGGATATTGCTAGGTACGGTGTGTTATTCCTGATGTTTCCTTTATTTTTCTGTTTAAATTTGTTTATAAAGAGAACAAACAGAAAACCTCAAAAACATTAACGCCAAGGTATCTTCAACCTCTCCGTAAATCTGTTATATAATTATAAATCACTCCTAAAATAGATAATTCTCATGGAACAGTAACTGAGAAGCTGAAAAACTATTAAGACCGGAGATTGCAAGAAGAGCACTCCTGCATGGAGAGCACTCTTGCATATGACGTTACTCTGTTGCCTTGTTCTATTCTACTAAAATAGATGGATGGAAGATGTCCCGATTTTAAAAAAGGCTGGCCAAACCTACTGCTTAAATAATTCCAGAAGTAACTTTCTAAGCTTCCAAGCAACATCAAAATCAATCAAAGATGATTGTTTGCTATAGGATATTGTGAGCGACTGATGTCCATGACCTTGTAAAAGCCTTATATCTTTATGGGTGTGTCAATGCCTCTCAACCTACTTTGCAATTGTTTTGGACTGTGCTTATGACATTTTTTGGTGTTCTGGTTATGGATGCTTCAAGGTATTGGATTGGGAAGTTTACTGCCTTTTTCCATGTTCTATGATATTCCCTCCCCTGTTTTAGACAATATATTCTACCCACCCCATGTACTTTTGTTTGGCTGTTGTATAAATAAAATAAAAATCAAGCAATGTCAGCGCTATAAATGGATGCAAACAGGCTGTTCAACTCAAATAACTCTATCATCTTTCGCTGAAATCTGACTTCCCCAGTTGCTTCATAAGTCAACTACAAAACTTGACGGAATTGATTATGTTAGGATCAGAGTACCAGCATAAATACACACAACTAAAATAGAGATGAGAAAAATAACCCTGACAATAGGCAAAAATGAAAATTTTATAATGACCACTCTTTCCTTTTACAATTGGAAATTACCAATACTAGGAAAGTAAAAGAGAAAGAAGGAGAAATATTTGGGATGTATGAAATAAGGGGGGAGGGGCTCCTTTTATAGGAAAGAGGAGAGCCCCCAATTGAAGTTCCCACGGATGTGGGACTTCTTTCTTCACAATCTCCCACTTGAAGATTTTGATGAAATTAATCAAATCTTCACACTATGTCTTCTTCTCTCACATCTATGTTGCTTATGCTTCCGATAGGCCATAGAGGGATCGACTCCATATAAACTTGTCAGCATTAACCTAGCTTTGCCATTACATCTCGCTAGGTTCTTCTCAGATGTGGATCTTCCGTAAATCTACACTTCCTTCTTCTACTACTTCTCGAACAAAATGATATCTTATTCCTATGTGTTTTGTCCTCGAATGAAAGGTCGGATTCCTTGCAATGTGTAAGGCACTTTGACTATCACAAGACACAACAATTTGTTGTTGCTTTTGACCAAGTTCCCCCATTATTCTTTTAATCCGGATAGCTTCTTTACATGCTTGGGTGACAGCCATGTATTCAGCTTCCGTAGTAGACAGAGCTACCACATCTTGTAACTTGGATAACCAACTTATCGCCCCTCCATTGATGGTAAACACATAACCAGATAGTAGACTTCCTTTTATCCAGATCACCTGCAAAATTCGAATCTACATAGCCTCCGACAACCGCTTCGATCCTCCATAACATAATGCAACATTTGAGGTTCCTTTTATATACCTAAGGACCCTCTTCATATTTTGCCAATGCTCTCCACTAGGATTCCCCATGAATCTACTAACCACTCCCACCGCTTGTGCAATGTCCGGTCTTGTACAAATCATGGCATACATAAGACTTCCCACTGCCGATGCATACGGTATCTCGAGACATTTCGATCCTCTCCGCTTCACCGCTAGGACTCATACTTGAGGATAACTTACAGCTGACAGGAAGTGGGGTAGAAATTGGCTTGCAATCTTGCATGTTGAAGCGCCGCAAGATCTTAAGTAAATAATTCTTTTGAGAAAGCCAAATCTTCCTATCTTTTCCGTCTCTGTGAATTTGCATCCCTAAAATCTTGTTTGCTGGTCCCAAGTCCTTCATATCAAACTCCCTAGCCAATTGTGCCTTCAATTCTTGGATTCGAGCTTTGTTAGGGCCTACCACCAACATGTCATCCACATACAACAACAATATGATGAAATCATTTTCTTCAAACCTATTGTGGTAAGTACAATGGTCCGAACTTAGTCCGTAGTATCCGAGGCTAATAATGAAGGAATCAAATCTCTTATACCAACACCTTGGCGCCGCTTTAGACCGTATAGAGATTTGTTCAACCTGCAAACCAAGTTTTCTTGCTCTTTGAAGCCTTCCGGTTGGAGCATATATATTTCCTCTTCAAGTTCTCCATGAAGAAAAGCAGCTTTTACATCCAATTGCTCAAGATGTAAATCAAATGCAAGACACATCGCCAGGACAATTTCGATTGTTGTCAATCTAACAACTGGTGAGAATATCTCGTTGAAATCAATGCCTTCTTTCGAGCATATCCTTTTACCACCAGTCTAGCACGATATCTTTCTACTTGATCATTGACATCTCTCTTGATCTTATAGACCCATTTGCAACCAATGGCTCTGCGACCTTTTGAAGTTCCACAAGATGCCATGTCTTTTTTTATGAAGAGCTTCAATTTCTTCTTCCATAGCAGTCATCCATAGAGGAGCTTCGAACCACTCACTGCCTCTTGAAAAGTTGAAGGTTCTCCTTCTTCACTTAGGAGACAATATGCATCATGACTTGCCATCACATATTGTGAATGCCAAGATGGTCCGACTCTTTCTCTTGTTGATCGTCTGAGTTCTCCTTCTTCCACCTCATTTGGCTCATGTTCTTCATGCTCCTCCTCTAACTCGGAGGAATGTTCCGAAGTCTTCTTCTCTATCTCGTACTATAGTCTTGTCCTTTTCCGAGCTGTCATTTATCCGCTTGCTTTGCAGTTCATTTTCTCGCAAAGACGACATCTCTGCTAACAATAACTTTGTGGGCAGTGGGATCCCACAAGCGACACCCCTTCACATTGTCAAGCATATCCCAAGAAGATGCATTTCCTGGATTTTGGATCCAACTTCGTCCTTTCTTGGGTGTTGTACATCACGTACGCGGGACAACCAAACACATGTAAGGAAGAATAATCGGTTGATTTTCCACTCCACATTTCCATAGGAGTTTTCAACCCAATTGCCGTTGATGGAGACCGATTTATCAAGTAACAGGCAGTATTCACGGCTTCGCCCGTAAAGACTTTGTTATGCCTGCAGCTTGCAAGCATAGCTCCGGTTCTCTCTAGAAGAGTTCTATTCATCCGCTCCGCTACACCATTCTGCCGAGGCGTGTGTGGAACAGTAAAATTGTCTCACAATTCCTTCTTGCTTGCAGTAATGCTAGAAAATCTCCATCTACATATTCTCCTCCATTGTCCGTCCTCAAACACTTGATTCTCCTTCCGGTCTCAAGTTCTACTTGTGCTTTGAAGTCTTTGAACCGCGCAAATACTTCGGACTTCTTCTTGATAGGGTATACCCATAATCTCCTCGAGTAGTCATCGATGAACGACACAAAATATTTTGCTCCTCCGAGAGATAATTCCGGTGATTCCCGGACATCGAATGGATCAAGTCCAAAGTTTGCTTACTCCTTGTGGTGGTTCTTGCAAACTTCAACCTCGTGTTGTTTGCTTGTCACACAATGCTCACAGAAGGGTAAATCGACCTTCTTGAGCCCGGGTATGAGATCACGTTCCGCAAGAATCTGCAGACCTCGCTCCGACATATGTCCAAGTCTACGGTGCCACGTTATCGCCGCTTCTTCTTGGCTTGTCGACGCAGCTTGTTGCATGATTTTCTTGCAAGGTGTCTCCCATAAGCACATACAAGTTTGCCATGATTTTCTCTGCTTTCATGACAACTATGTTTCCCCTCACTACCTTTAAGATTCCTCCTTCAACATGGATCTTGCAGTACGAGGTCATCTAATTGCCCTATAGACAATATATTTTTCTTCAAGTCCTTCACATGTCGTACTTCTTGGATTGTGCGAATAGTACCGTCATACATTTTTAATTTGACAAGTACCAACTCCAAGCAATCTCCAATGCATGGTCATTTCCCATGAACACGGATCCACCCGAGATAGGCTTGTAGGTTTGAAACCAATCTCGGTGTGGGGTCATATGCCAAGTTGCACCTGAATCCATTATCCACTTGTCATGAAATTCGTTTCCGCCATTAGAGTCGATTGTCGCTTCGCTACCGGAATTACTCCTTCCTCTCGAAGTACTCGCAATGCAACCTTGTGAGGTTGATTCTTCATTCTTCCTCTTCCAACACTCTTTCTTCGTGTGCCCTTTCTTGCCACAGTAGTAGCATTTAAATTTGAAAGTCTTCTTGTTTCGAGAGCTAGATCTGCCATGATCTTGACTCCCACTTGAGCCACGTTCCGCCGATCTTCCTCTCATCATCGTCAAAACTTCGCTTGTTTAGAACTTTCTACCTTATTCATTCGCCTGGATTCTTCTTCTAGAATAGCTCCGCAACATCGTCAAAGTGTAGTTGTCCTTCAATATTATTATTTGTAATGTTGATGATGAGTTGATCATACGAGTCCGGCAAGCTCTGAAGTAAGAGCTCCGCACGCTCATTCTCAACTATGTTGAAATTTGCTCGCTGCTAATTGGGCAAACAAGGTGTTCAGTTGGTTGATGTGGTCCGTCACCGATGTGGACTCACTCATCCGAAGAGTATAGAGTTTCCTCTTCAGGAATATCCTTGTATGAAGTGACTTCACCTCATATAATTTAATGAGGGCATCCCAAATCTCCTTTGCAGAATCTTTCTCCGTAACACTCGGATAGAACCGAGTCCTGTCATTGCCAAGTGTAAATTTGCAATAAGCGTTGCCGTCAATTTTCTTCCAATCTTTATCCGTCATTTCGCAGGTTTTCCCTCAATTGCTTCGCGCAATTGTCCTTTCTCAAGATTGCCTTCATCTTCAATTTCCACAACGAGAAATTGTTCCCGTTGAACTTCTCTATCTCGTACTTTGCTCGCCATGGTTGTATACGAGACTTATGCAACTATCACTTATAAATAGTATTGTCTACCGAACAATAGTAGTAAACCGTGAACCAAGTACACCAAGTAGGTTCCCAGTGAAAGAGAGGTGGGTCACTAATGGACACGCTTAAGTACCAAGTCTTTCCTAGCCGTAACTTTCCTCAATAGTACTTTCACACTACCACACCTTTTCCAAGAACAACTCCTTTCCGATGTGGAAGATCGATTAAACCGGCAACCACAGAGCATACTCAGAATTTTACCAACACTATTCTAGTGACGCGCAACGGAACTCGAACACAGCTCTGATACCACTGTTAGGATCAGAGTACCAGCATAAATACACACAACTAAAATAGAGATGAGAAAAATAACCCTGACAATAGGCAAAAATGAAAATTTTATAATGACCACTCTTTCCTTTTACAATTGGAAATTACCAATACTAGGAAAGTAAAAGAGAAAGAAGGAGAAATATTTGGGATGTATGAAATAAGGGGGGAGGGGCTCCTTTTATAGGAAAGAGGAGAGCCCCCAATTGAAGTTCCCACGGATGTGGGACTTCTTTCTTCACAGATTATAACATAAAATATAGGCTATGATGTTTTTCTTACAATAATGCACTTCAATAGCTCAAGCTTGGTTGGGGGGGTATGGTTGCAAAGATTTGGAAACCAATAAAAGCAGATTTCCCCCTACCTAGTCATGGTGCTTGTTTACTTCTCACTACCATTGGTGCAGTCTGATGTTTGCTTTGACTTAGAATATGACCCCAAGTTTCCTCCTAAGGAATAAGAATATGTGATTGAAGCAAACAGTAAAATACTGGTTTTGTGCCTGTATTGAAGAATTAGATGGAGTTACCCTTTTAAGAAATAAATGTGCCCTTGATATGATTTTCGACGTGCCTTTTTCTTTTTCTGGCCATAGTCAGTTTTGCTGTGTATGAGTATGAGGATACAGGAAATGCTATCTTAACTTGCCATTTTTGTTTAAAAAGAAGGAACTGTATTCACAAACTTGCATAAAATGCTTGGAGTTTTCTGTTATTTCTCAATTAAAGAAATTAATTAGTTCTTTTTGAGGTGAGTGGGGGAGGAGGCGGCCCTCAAGAATGTTGTTGGATGAATAACTCAGCATAGTGTATTTTAACAAACCTGATAAAGCATCATTAGGAAATCCATAAACATTTGAAAGCAGGCAGCTTCATTGAAAATCTAAATATTATTCTGATCTATATTTTGTGAATATATATTGTTCATAGAGGGATGGCCTATCTTCACAACGAACCAAATGTTATCATTCATCGAGACCTAAAGCCAAGGTAAATATTTTATTCTTACAAATTGATTTAAATTGCTTTCTCCTAGATTAAGAACATTTAATGTTGATCTAGAACATGACAGGAATTTATATGTCTATGGAATGCGTCACATGTTGAAATCTTTTTTACTCCTAATATTTCAGGAATGTTCTTTTAGTCAATTCTAGTGCCGACCATTTAAAAGTTGGTGATTTTGGACTTAGTAAGCTTATTAAGGTCCAAAGTTCTCATGATGTATACAAGATGACGGGTGAAACTGGAAGTTGTGAGTATTAGAAATTCTTTCAAATTAGTAAGGGAAAAATGCATAGACAAGCCATGAACTTTACCTTGTTCTGAAATATCGGCCTTGAACTTTTAGAATGAGGTGGGTGCTTAACTTTCTAAATCTGCTACCAGACCAATCCGCCCTGCAATTTAGTTAAAATCACTGATGCATGACTTGCATGAGATTATCTCTAGCCAGATTTGTTTTATTTATTTTCAATTTCCATAGATTAAAAAGTGTAGAATAGTTAAAAGGAAAAGAAAGTAAGAGTATTTTAAAAAATCAAATCAAATGAATTAAATTCCATAAATTAATGGATACGCATGCCATGTGAGGAATCGTTTTGTTACCCTTATGCATGGAAGAGTCTATTTAATGTAGGTTTAAGAAAGGTTAATCTGAAATTGGAAGTTCAATATGGCTATTTCAAAATGAGGTAAAGTGAAGGAATGTATGCAATTTTTTTAATTAAGTAAAATTTCTGCACAAAATTGAGATGTCCTTCTTTTGGAAAAAAAAAAAAAAAAATAGACCGCTACATGGCTCCTGAAGTTTTAAAACACCGGAGATATGATAAGAAGGTTGATGTATTCTCCTTTGCAATGATTTTGTATGAGGTAATTCTGCACACTCAAGATTTAGAATTTTGTTTGATAAAATAATAAAAGTTGAGCCTAGTTGTAAACTTCAAATTCACTATTCTTGAAATCCTTCTTTGGATCAGATGCTTGAAGGTGAACCACCTTTTTCAAATTATGAACCTTATGATGGAGCCAAATATGTGGCCGAAGGACACAGGCCTTCTTTTCGGGCAAAGAGTTATACCGCTGAACTGCGAGAGTAAGTAATTTCTAGTTACCCAGCACCCCCTCCTTCTCGAATCTAATTTCTCTTCTCTTTTTGACCTTGCATGTTCGTAGTTTAACAGAGCTGTGCTGGGCTTCTGAAATAAATTTAAGACCTTCTTTCTTAGAGATCCTTAAAAGGCTTGAAAGGATCAAGGAAAATTTGCCTTCAGATCATCACTGGAGGAGCAGCTTGTTCGCTTCATGAATTATAGGAGCACTCTGGCTAACGCTGATTCTTTTAGCAGGTGTTTACATTCAATTACTCTTTTTGCCTCATTAAAATTATTGGCTGGGTTCCATTCAACTATTCATTCTTGTGAGTAGATTCTAGTAGTCGCGCGAGTGTAATATGTTGTGTACAAAACCTATTGAGAAAAAAAAAAATACAACAATTCAAGTTAATTAATAATTAAATTATCTTATGTTTGAAATTAATATTAATTTTCTATTCTTGTACATTGTTTGACTTAAATTCTACCAACTACTATAGATTTCTTTCCCAAATTTTCCGTTGTTCTTGTGTTGGTTGTGATATTTCTTTCCATTGCATTATGAACTCCAGAGCAAACATTTCCTACCTTTGTTGTATATATTATTTTTGGTTTCTATTTTGATAAATATGAGGGTCCAGTATCGAGGTTCCTCACCGTTCCAGGATGTTGACGAGGTTCCTCACAGTTCCAGGATGTTGTGCCCAGTGGAGGGGCAAAGGGAAGGGAGGGTGTTCTTACAATGAAATATTCCAACATCCTAGTAGGTGATAGTTGAGCAAGGAGTGTAGCATAGTTAAGAAAAATGGCTAATTCTAAAATCAAGTGATGCACATTAAAAATTAAAATTATGTGCTACCACTACCAAAGCCCTGTTAATTTGTTATATCTCGGGAAATATTTACATATTCGTACAGTGTTTATTACCTGAATTCTACTCGGCAGTTTGCATAATAAATTTTAAATTTTTATAAGAATATTAAATGTTATATATATATATATATATATATATATATATATATATATATATATATATATATACGCAGCTGACTGATTACAGCAGGAATTTAATTAACACAAATATTTTGGCAACCAGAATGCTGTGAATAGAGGTGTATAGTTTGAGCACAGCATAATAATCTTTGTTGTTTTTTAAAACTAAAAATAAAGAACAACAAATGAGAAAATAAAAAGAACAATCTCAAATAAAGTAGAGGCATACAGATGCGCTAATATACTTAGCAGCACCTTATGAGAAACATTATAAAATTTCAGAGGATTTTCTTTTTCTCGAAGAAGGTCTTCAAGTGTCGTAGTTGCAGCCCCGCTACTGACATGCAGACAAACAGTGAAAGCAAACTCAACCACAACAAACTGGAGTTGGTTGTCCAGTTCTGCAGTTCCATTTCTTGTTCTCTAGAAGAAAATATGGTGCAAATAAGAAGCATTATCCACTTCAAATTTGAACTAAGAATACACGTACAATTTAATGTGCATGCTTACTGTTTACGAAGATAAATAGTCTCCTCATGAATGGAAGAAACAACTTCCTGTAAAATCTGTAGCTCACGTACCATTGTCTGCAAATGAGACAAATCAATGCATGATTTTCTTTTTCTATCAAATCCAGAAATATGCCAAACATTATCGTTCTAGTATGTAAACTAACAAATCAAAAGAAAGTTATATATATATAATGAACATGGATGTTTTAGAGATTTTGAGACTTACGAATCATGCTCTGTTGCATTGGATATGGATTAAGGTGGGGTAAACTATAGAATTTGAGTTATATTTTTCTTCAACAAATCCTTAAAATACTTTTTACCATTCTTTTTCATTTCACATCTATCTTTTTTGTTTTTTATATCTCATAGTCTTCTAACAAAATAAAAATATGATTTTTTTTTTAAATTTCATGTTACTTTATTACATCCATTGTTTTGTGTAAAAGTGTCAAGGAAGGTACATCCTTTTGATAATAGGAAAAAGATAGGCCGAGAACCCTCTTTTAAAAAATAATCTTCTAATGATTTTATTTAATAATTTTTTTATTGAACCTTTTATGATTATTATATTAATAGATAGAATTATAAAATGGATGTATTATGATTGTACATATATGATTTCTCTTAATACTACGCGACAAGGACACTATGGCATGCCAAGTAAACCCAAAAAATTACTAAATCACTAATAAAATGAATTATTTTATTTTAGATATTCAATATCAATTGTAATGTATACACTCCATTATTTCTTATATGGTTTTATTAAATCCTGTAAAAAAAAAATTCCTTATTTCTCCTTGTATATCTTCAGGGAAATTTCCTATCCCTTTGTCCGAATTGTTTGAGACTAGAAGATTATGTAGAGTTAGAAAGTGTGAAAGTATATTAATATAGGATAATTTGGAGATTAGTTGAGACTCACTTAATAGTTGATTCAGAGTTAGAATAAAAATAATTCCCTAAAAATAAGGATTGGTCAGAGTAGTCCTTTTGAGAAAGAGGGATAATAGTCACACCTGGCACTTCAGCCTCTACCTTCTAAGTGGGACGATTCATCATAACGAAATTCAGTCTTATAAATTGTCTTGAGAGTTTTGAAAATCACCTCAAAGACATGGCTAAAACACTCCTCGTATTTTTATCTTTTCTCTCATTTTATGTGAGACAAACACTGTTCAGCCATATATACAGTTATAAAGTATATATATTATATTTATACACTAATGCACGCAACCACTTACATCTATATGGCTTTTCTTTGCAACATTGGACCAATCTTGTGCTGCAACACCTGTTCTCCAATCCAAATCAATTGTTAGGGTTGTCTGGGGTTTGTGATGGACAATCCAGAAACATGCTATGTAATCGCCATCTTCTATTGCCACAAATGCAAACTGTCCTGATTGAACATGTTCATTCTGGTGATATAATTTGTCATTGTTACCACTCCGCCAACTCACCTGACCCAAACCAAATAACCCATCATTCAAATTCACAACACGGTTAGTTCAGGCACAAAAATGGGCATCAAAACCTTTAACATTTTTATTTTTTTTAATTAATTATACTCTTATTTGTTGGATCCAACTAAAAGTACTACAGAAGATAAAACTTTCATCCTTTAACTAATAGATTAAACAGAACCATTCAATCCATTAATTCTAATTAATTTGCATTCATGAAAATAATGAAAAATAGCATACATGCACCGGTGAAATAGAAATGAAAAGGAGTAAACAAGAAAAATCTGACCAAAAACATAGTTACTGTATAAAACCCTAACAGTTGGGAATGGATGAATAAGTATACCCGAACACTGACAGTGTGAGAATCAGGCAAGAGTTGATCAATGTAGGGATTGAGGATACTGTAATTGCCCAATGTCATTGAATTCTTCCTTATGTTTTCTGATACGCATTTGGCTTGGCCAGATTTCAATTCGAACATTAGGGATTGAACTGAGTATGAAAACAGTCCAAGAAGTAGAAGAAGAAAATGGGGTGATGAGTTTAGTCTAAACATAGTGTTTTACAATGAGTTATGATGGAGTAGTGAAACAAAACATCAATCTCATTCTTGTGTTAATATTACAAAGTTTGTCAAAGATTGGTCCCTATAACGTGTTTCTTGTTCACTGGAGCATGCACGTCAAATTTGTTTCATTGTTCTTTCTGGTTGGTTAATTTGGATTTCTTTCCTTCTTTGTGCTGTTACCAGAAACTTGAAAACTATATTTTAATTTTAGTGAGTTAAAAATAAGTTACATTGTAGGTAAAAAATATATACTTTTGTTTATTGTATAACAATTATTAAAATATGTGTACAGCAATTATTAAAAGGAATAACTTTCTATAATATATTTTTTTAAATAAAAATGTTATTGTTAGTGTTTAAATTGTAATGTTCAGCCATTGTAACGTAGAAAAAAAAAATTAATGTAAAAAAAAAGGACTAAATTAAAATGGCCACTATCATTACAACAATCATTCAAACAAATCATGCAAGTTTTGTTTACATGTCCACGTGAAATAGCCTTATTATAATTTTCCACATAAACACAAGAAAAAAGAGAGTAAGAGGGAACGAGACTTTGCACATGACTCACCTAAGTGAGAATATATATATATATATATATATATATATATATATATATATATATATATATATATATATATATATATAATAATTAGTAAAAGAAATACAGATACATTTAAAATAATATTTTTCAAGAATTAATTATATAAAAAATTATAAATATGCATGCATTTTAGTTGTATTTGCACTGGTATATATTAAAAGATCTATTTTATTAAATGATTAACGAAATAATATATTTTGTGTTCTTAAGAAATTTTTATGGTAGTTTAAGAATAGAAAGATACAAAATTCTTCCATTTTGATTTTAGTTAATCCTTATCCATTCATCTCGACTGTATCATTTTCTTGAGAAAAGGTAACCGATTTTGGGTTATGCTCGTTTCGTTTCTAAAATTTACTGTAAAGCAAGAAAATCAGAATCGGAGAGAGAAAGCGGGCATTTTTTCCTGTGTAGAAGAGAGAGAAACTTCTTTTGAGATTGGCGAAATCGTGGTGTGGGATAGAAAAGGCGAGGCAATAAACGAGGGAAAAAAAAATTATTTTCCCGGAAAAGGGAATCAGAAAATGCATTGCATGACCGTTTGTTTGTCGTTGAGATTTGATCCTTTGCATTCACTCCCTTGTTCTTGGATCTTTGTCTCGTCCTCCTCTCCCAATCTTTCTCTCTAACACTTTTTTTTTTTTTTTTCTCTTTCTCTTTTTAATTTTTGCTCATTGATTCTTGAAGAGCAAAAAGATCCTGTTTTGAGTCTCCCCCACGAGTATCTGCTTCAAATTCAATTTTGGGTCGGTTTCAATTTCTCCAAAAGATTCGTTCGCTTTGTTGCATTGTTTGTGTCCGAGGTAGGGCTTCACGGGGTTGCATTAATGTGTGTATTTATCCATGTCTATTTATTTGTGTTATGCTGATTTGGTTTTTGTGGGAATGTTGGAAACTGTGTGAAAGTTTTAAGGTTCGATGAAGCGGCAATGAAGTGTGTGGCTGAGAAATGGAGGTTAGATCGGAGGGTATACAAGTTAGGTGTGATAAACTTCCGGGTCCTGTGATTCCGAGGACACGTTTGAGGATTTGGTTCATTCGTGTGTGCTCAAGCATTGTGCTGTGGACGTGTCTGGTTCAGTTAGTGACAGTGAGTGAACTATGGCATTCACATTTGATTTCTGGGATTACTAATGGTATATATCACATAACCCAAGTTCAGCTTCCTATACAAGGGGTTAATGGGGTTGCTCAATCACCTCCTGCTTTGCTTCCCCCAAGTTAGTTTCTGTTCCGAATACTTACTTGTCATACAGCTAAGTTTTTGTTTGCTTAAATGAAGAACTTGAAGATATATACATAATTGAGCAATGAAACCCATTTGTTAATTTTGTTTTTAGACGGTCATGGTTCTTATGGTTGACTTGAAAATTGTGTTACATTTATGGATTGGGGATGCATGATGAGAGCATTAGAATTTCAAACTAAGATAAGATAAAATCTTACTGATATCTGAATGTCGACATTAATTTTGATATTTAATCATCATGTTTTGAGGATTTCCTTCAAGAGCTGCTTAATATTAATACTGATTTGTGGTCGGATGCGGTTTTGGTTTGGGGTGGAAGGAGGGACTAAATGGAAAGCAAATATGACTATAACATAAGGTCTTAACATATGCATACCTTCATGCCTGGTAGTTTTACATGTACCTGTCTAAGTTGAAATAACAGAGGTAATTGTTTCTAAATATTACAAAAAGGATCTCCATTCATAGATTTATGGGATGTCCTTCTATAGAAATTCATCTATAACTATTTTATATGTATAGATCATGATATATTCAAAGCTGCTTGCCTGTTTGCTTGTGGGTTTTGTTTTGGATCTATTGACAATTTCCTGAGTGCTGGACTAAAATTGTGTCCTATTGGCGTGCCTCATCTTTTGATTTCCATGGATGTTGTGTGTTTTAGTTGTTAAAAGGATTGTGAATGGTTATAGTATGACTAGTATAAAGCAGTACTTACAAATGTATTGGTTTGATATATAAGATATTTTAGCTGTTTTATCTGTATTTTCTAACTCATTTTGGTACATGTTAAGAACTTTTGACCTGAATCCTGACAGGAAATTATACAAGTAATGGTTTTCTAAGAGTTTCCTGCAATGGGGGCTTGAATCAAATGCGTGCTGCGGTTTGTACTTCCTACTCTACCATTTCTCTGTATGACAAGCTTAAATACTCATTAGAGGCACGTTGTTTCAGATTTGTGATATGGTGACAGTTGCACGGTTTTTGAATCTTACATTGGTTGTTCCAGAGCTTGATAAGACATCATTTTGGGCAGACCCTAGGTATATACTTTGTTCTTAAAAAAAAAAAAAAAGTTTAGTATCCTCTAATTTGGCCTCCTTGTCATTTTAAGTTTTTTAGTTTTATTTTTGCAGCAATTTTGAGGACATTTTTGATGTGAAGCATTTCACTGATTCTCTAAGAGATGAAGTTCGGATAGTGAAAAGAGTCCCCAAAAAGTTCAGTGACAAACATGGATACACCACCTTGGAGATGCCTCCTGTTAGCTGGTCAAATGAAAAATATTATTTGGAGCAGGTTTGCTCATTATATTTGATTCATGTCATTTAAGCAAATGTCAAAAACTTATATACTATGCATATTGCAGTTTAAGTTTTGATATTGTGATTATGATTCTTCACCTTTATTTTGTGTAATTGAAATATATAATTTTAGGACAGCATGAATTCTTTAATTTGTCAGCATTATGATATAAGCGTGTAGTTCCCTTCTAAATCAATAATTTTTAATGTTTTATGATAAGGCCTTGGAGCCTTAACTTTTATGATTGTATGGCATGTTGCTGTCGTCTTATTTAGTACACATGAAGGTATGTGTCAATAATTTTTTCCTTTTGCAAATGATTATTATGGATGTCTTGTATGTGTTATATTAAGAAATATATTATCATTGAAGTCAAACATTTTAAATTCTCAATTAAATTGAAATAATATGGAGAAAACTACAAGTAGTACTCTAAGTTGCTTTTCTTGTATGTACTTTTTATGAACTAGATTAAGTTGTTCTAATGTGGTGCCAAAGTAGGTATCAAAATTCCGAAGTTTTTAATAATCTTCCTTTTTTATGACCAGTACATATATTAAGTTTAATCCAATGCTGTTAATTCCAATTGCAGATTTTACCACTTTTTGGAAAACATAAGGTGTTACACTTTAACAAAACTGATACCCGTCTAGCAAACAATGGTCTTCCACTTGATTTACAGAAACTCAGGTGTCGTGTAAACTACCAAGCACTTAAATTCACTCCTCAAATTGAGAATTTGGGGCACAAATTAATTCAGATGCTCCATGAGAAGGGACCTTTTGTGGCATTGCATCTGAGATATGAGATGGACATGCTGGCTTTCTCTGGTTGTACCCACGGTTGCACTGATAAAGAAGCTGAAGAGCTCAAGCAGCTGAGGTCTTTTATGTTTCTTGTTTGGCTTTATATATTGGATCTCAATCTTGTTTCTGTCATTAAATGAGATAATGCTTCTTGTCTGAGAGTTGCTGGGGGAGATAATAATGAATATCATTTTTGTTTTCCCTGTGATAGCTAAATTACCATTGATTTGAAATAGTTAATTGTGCCGGCTATTCAATTTGAGATGACAGATACTAGTTAGTTGTGCTGTTGGGAGAACCTTTCGGTTGGAGAAGAGTAGTTGGTTTGGAGTATTTTGAGAAAATAAAGATTTTTATGATCAGAAATTCTGTTCTGAGCCACACAGAATATTGATTTTGCTTTTGAAATTCAGGTATGCTTTCCCTTGGTGGAGAGAAAAAGAGATAATTTCTGATGAGAGGAGATCACAGGGTTTATGTCCTTTGACACCAGAGGAGGCAGCCCTAGTTCTTCGAGCCTCAGGTTTTGGTAGGGAGACACAGATCTATATTGCAGCTGGTGAGATTTATGGTGGTGAACGTAGACTTGCACAATTGAGAGCTGTATTTCCACGAATTGTGAGTTTTCATTAGCATTGTAGTTTTTCCTACTACTCTTCTCTTTATTGTTTGGATATTAAAATGGTGCAGAGTTATTGTGACTGGTACTAATGGGTTGTTGTTGATTATGCAAAATTGTCCATTTGCATATTGTCTATGGTTGAAGGTCCAGCTCGCAGGGGTTGGTCCTGATCTAAATATGCATTTTCTCTTGTTGATCCTCTTCTCTCTAAATTTTTTTGCATGGAAGCATCTGACTTCTTTTTGCAATTTTAGGTGAAAAAGGAAACATTGCTAACCGGGGATGATTTGCGGCAGTTCCAGAATCATTCATCGCAGATGGCAGCCTTGGATTTTATGGTTTCAGCAGCCAGTAACACATTTGTTCCTACCTATGATGGGAACATGGCAAAGCTAGTGGAAGGTCATCGCAGGTATGTATTCACCCTTGCAGGTTGCAGTTTGGTTTTGGAGAATGTAAACACATTTTAACACAATGACTTGTCCTCTGTAAAATGAGTGAACTTCACATTGCTGATTTAGTGGGATCCTTGTGAACTAATCTAAAACACTTTGTTCTTTTGGCAACTCATTAAATAAAAAGTGAGACAGTTAGGTTATGTTTTCCACTAAATTTCAGCCAATAGTAAAAAGTGTATTCAAGAGTGATAAAGGGTGGCCTGCTAGCATTTTTCTCATGAACAATTATGTTTATCTTTCACATGAATATCCGTGAAAAGTCTCTTACTAATTTAGCTTGTGTGCAGGTATTCCGGTTTTAAAAAGACCATCTTATTGGATCGAAAAAAAGTGGTAGAGTTAGTTGATATGCATCAAAATGGAACCCTTTCATGGATTGAGTTTGCAGATGCTGTGAGAAGGGTTCATGAGGGTAGAATTGCTCAGCCAACTAGGCGTAGAGTTATCGTAGATAAGCCAAAGGAGGAGGACTACTTCTATGCCAACCCTCACGAGTGCCTGTGCGAGGAAACAAATTGTGATGACTTGCTTGGTCCTCATAACTCTAGTCAGGTATCATCATGAGGTAGGAGGAGGAATCCAAAATATGCATTCATTCCACTAACTTGCTCAGGTGCTGTGTTAAGAATCAAGATTACAGACCAAAGATCTCAGATTACAAGAAATTTGTAGGAAACCAGATAAAGGAAAGGAAACGAGTAAAAATAACAAGAAAACAGAGGAAATATTAGCTTATATTGTGGCTGCCAAAAGATGCCCCTTCATTGTTACCTTGATTAGTTAATTTTTTTCTTCTTCTGTCTCTTGATAGTTTCATTCAATGAATATTTGACAATTCACATTCAGTATACCATAAAAAGGGGATAAAAGAGAATGATAGTATCCTAATCTTAAAGGATATGGTTTTAATGAATTGGACTATTGATGGCTCTTAAATAACATTTAAATTTCATTCCCATGAAAACATTTCCTTTAAGAGTCACGAGACAAGAATTGTAAATTTGATTTGCACGATACATTTTTATTTTTCTGATTCCAAAGAGGATAATCAGGAACAAAAAACATAACATATGAATGCTAATACCAAAACAACTTAATACAAAGTAAAAAAGTACCTCGTTGCTTTTGCAAAACTTTCATACTTGTAGCTCAAAACTACAACCCAAATCAAACAACATAGTGTTTGCAACATTTTTTTACCTTCCCACCAATAGTTCTATTAGAGGAGAAACTATGAGAAAATGACGATAACATGTTTGTTAAAGGAGAAACAGTGGATTTCTTTAATCAGGATTATTAATCAACAAAGCATGATGATGTTAGCTTGCAATCCAGCTTGGAAGGTGATTAGGTAGCAAACACAATTTCGACCTATATTTTTGGTCAAAACGGGTCGGGTGATGGTTTTTCTTAGGGTCATCTAATTTGACACTCACCTTGTAATATATTTTAATTTTTCTAATTTGAATTTCACAACCACTTTCATATTACATTCGTAATTGGAGATTTAGTGTCATATAGAAATGGTAAAAATTTCCATATCAATGGTTATCTACAGTGGATGGATATTAAAACGGTTGTTTAAATAGATATAAGTCAACAGTAGTGCCATTTTAAGGATCTTTAGACCAATAAAATATGACCGCAAAATAGGCGTTATCAATTTGAGGTTGAGTGAAAATTAAAAAAATTAAATAATGTATTTGTATAAAATAATTAATTTATAAATATTTAAAAATATATTTTTTAAATTTAAGTTATATTAATAAATTTATTTTTTATTTTAGATATAATAATTTAATATATAAATTATAAAATAATAGATTTATTTACTTTTAAAATAAGAATTAAAGATTTATTTATTATTATTATATATTTTTTAATAATCTAATGATATAAAATAATAATTAATGTATTAAATTTTGAAATAAGTAGATATTAAAAAAATATTTTTATAATAAATAAATTATTATCAAAATAATATTATTTTTATTTTATTTTAAAACATTATTATTTTAAAGTTAACCTATAAATATACTAAAATTAAGTTTATTTAAATCATGAATAATAATAATAATTTTCTTTTATCGGATCTATTTTTTAAATATTTTTAGATTAATTCATCATATTAAACTTATTTTAATATCTTATAATAAATACGTGTACTATATATTCATAAATATCTATATCTTACTAATATTATTTATTTTAGAAAGTTATTCATAAAAAAAACATTTGAAAGAATGATTTATGATTTATTTTAAAATTTGTGTTTTTATTTAGATTTTATAAAATTAAATTATCAAAATAAAATTATTGATAAAAAAACATTTGAAAGAATGATTTATGATTTTTTTTTGTAAATTTGTGTTATAGAAATCAAAATTATGTTTTTAAAAATTTTAATTCTATTTAAATTTATAATTTTTTTTGAATATATATTTTAGAAAGGCTAATTTTATTAATATTTTATATTATAATAAATTATATTTTAAAGAATAAATTTATTTAAAAACCATAAAATATTTGTATACTCACCGAATACATAAAAAAAATCTACATCCTTTTTTTCCAAATGATATTCGATGACGCGTAATGGAAAGATATAATTATCATCTTTAATCCAAACTCTATCTAATCTTTAATCATAAGATGAAATAATTACAAACATATTTTTTATATATGAAAATTAATTTATAAACAAGTATTAATTATAGGACTAAATGTTTGTTCAATCCAAAATAATATTTCAGCTTCTCATGTAAAACACTTATTTTTTTTTATTTTATTTGAGTTTTGATCATTCATGAATTTCAAAAGAGATTAGTTTAGGATTAAACTAAAAGTAAATATGGTGCATGAAAAAATTAATCATATTAAAACTACGTAATTAATTTAAAAAACAAAGATATACCAAAGATTTTCTTTTAATTTCCAAAGCTATAGAATTTGCAAACAAATAGAAATACACCGACCTAAATCCCTCGTACATATAATACAAGCTAAACAAGCCCTAACCTTGTGTGAACGCGCTTTAAACGGATTATTTCAATGCACAGATTATAATAGATACGAAAGGCAAATCATTCGTAACTGTTGAAGGAGAAAACTGAGTGTTAAGGGCAGACATGTATCATCCAACCAGAGGAGGCGTTCGTGGCGGTCGAGATCGTAAGTTTTCTCTTCTCCTCTCTTGTCCCGCCACGTTCAATTTATCGTCTTGTTCCATCGCTTCCTTTTGGGAATCGAATTGTTTTCGAAATATGTCAAACTGAAATTCTTAACTTTAAGAAATTGTTCTTCGATTTGATGTGAACGATTTTTACAAATGGGGGTTCTGCTTACTTTTTATGATTTCTATAAGTTGGTCATGTTGAACCCTAGAATTCTGATGTTTACAAAATTCATTTTGAGTAAAATCATATGTTTTAATTTTGATATTTTATGTATGATTTTGATGTTTGTTTGTGTTTTACTTTTGATGGCTAGAATTTACTTGGGAGGATGTAAAAGTTGATAAACATAGGGAGAACTATCTTGGACACAGTATCAAGGCTCCTGTTGGAAGATGGCAGAAAGGTAAAGTTAATTTTTTATTTCAGCTCAGATATACTTTCTTCATATAAAATATTGTTGTTTTTATACTATTGCATTTAGCGTGGAGATTAACCATTATTTAGTTACATTAGCTGACGTTGGATCATGATACATGGGGGGTATGGGTGCCCTCGGCTTGTTATTCTGATTATTTGGGGGATTTGTAACATGCCTCTAATTGGTATTTGTAGTTTTATGCTTTGAATTGGCTAATGGAATAATGAAACTCTGCGCTGAACCAAACCCAAGTTGATATTTTCTTTTAAAGAGTTCAGATTATACGTTAATTTTTAATTGGACACTGTTGGACATTAGTCCGCAGTATTGAGAGAATATCTCATTGTTCTGTTATATTATTTAATGGCTATTGTCCTACCTCCTCTCTCTTCTAGGATATATGCAAGCTGAAGGCCTTCTACAATGTATATGTAGTTGCTGTTAAACACAGAAAAAAAACGAGATATTTCTACCGGAACCGCCAAAATTCCGTTATGATATTTTTTTCAGCATGGTTATTCAAACTGTTTTTTGTTTATAGTCTTGATACATGTTCAAAGCTTATGTTTGCCTTAGTCTATGTTTGAGTCAATCAAAATGTTGATTGGTCAGTCTTTGGTTTACCAATCTAGTGAAAAAGGTTATTTAAATAGAACATGAAGTTTGATGCTATAAGAAAGATCTGAACAAATTTGGCCAGTTTTAAACTTTTCACTTAAAAGTTCACTCAATCTAACATAAGCTTATCCGGAGTGCTTGCCTACCTCCTATTCTCACCAGTGTATGCATTGCATCGGAATTTAGTTACAACTTCTATTTAATTCATTTTGGTATTGGAGCTTAGGTTATTTCATTTCGGTATTGGAGCTTAGGTTATTTCATTTTCCACTATTGTGGTATGGAAGTGTATAAGCATAGCATATGCCATGTTGGTGTCCCACACGTTTTTTTTATTGTATTTAGAAATGAACTCTATAAATGTAATTTTTAAAGATCTATTTGATTTACTTGAATTGACTTATAAGAAGCTGGGAAGTCTGAAGAAAGATAGATAGACAGACCCGTAAAAGAAAAATTATTCCTGTTTCTAAGATGCTTAAACAAGAGACGCATGCATATAGACATTCACTATTTTTTTTGGTTCTTTACTTGTTTCTTAACTTATAACTTTTCCTATCTCACTTTGTATTATCTGGAGGAGGAAGTCGTAGTAAGTAGGACTTCATTAACTGTTTGCTGGAACCATGATCCCTTGCTATTTGTATTGATGGTGTATAGTCAATGAAAAGTTGTTAGCATTTAGTGCAATTTTGCTATGCATGGTTGGGGCAATGATTGGTGTGTTATAACTAAGTCCAAAGTTTGCAATCACAGCTTTAAGCTTTAGTTCTGAGTTTGTCAGTTTGATAATTTCAGTTACACTTTACCTTTACTAGTGTTAGAAGAAATGTCCTATGTTAGGATGCTTTGAGAAACTTTGTTGCGTTGTAGTTATTTGAACACAAGAGTTTTAGCTACTCTATTGCAAGATTCACTTTGTTTATTACCTACCATGATTATGGTTCCATCTCTATGTTTTGAACCTGTATAGAGAACAGTATCTGTTTTCGTTGTATTCATTATATAAATTTCTCTTTGATTAGTGTAATTCATTGGTCTAATTTTCTAGCTATGCCAGTTTGTTATTGTCTTAGTAAAAGAACATCATTTAATATCCTCCTTTGGTTCAACAGGGAAAGATCTTTTCTGGTATACCAGGGATAAAAAGTCCCGAAATGCAGAAATGGAAGCTGCAAAAGAAGAGATAAAAAGAATTAAGGAAGAAGAGGAGCAGGCAATGAGGGAAGCACTTGGCTTAGCTCCTAAGCGTGCTAACCGTCCTCAAGTTAACCGCCTTGATAAACATGAGTTTTCAGAATTGGTAAAGCGAGGGTCTACAGCAGAGGACTTAGGTGCAGGTCATGCTGAAGCAGCAAGGGTCCAAGGTCTTGGTTTTTCAAGGTAAAGTTACTTACAAAGAAAACAAAGCAATAAAATAGATTTGGTTTTCTTCATATTTAATTTAATTTTTGCTATTTTTTGTTAGTTGTTTCTAAATTTTAACTCATTGTTTGACATATATAAAAGCATCTGTCTCTTCACCTACAAATTAAATGTTTTAGACAATTGGTTCATAACAAAAATGTTAAGACGCCCCACATTGGCTAGGAATATGGCCAAAATACTTCTTCCAAAGACTTGGGAAATTCTCACTTTTTAGTTGACCTCTGGGAGTGAGTTAGGTCCGAGTATGGTATCTGACCTTGTCCAAACTTAATGTCGGGCACCTGTAGACTTTTAGTCTTTCAAAGTTCATGCACCAAATCTCCAGTCTTGGGTGTAAGGGGTGTGTGTTAAGATGTCTCGTATTGGCTAAGAACTATGAAGCACGGACACTGGTGTTGAGTTGCTATATCTTTGTGAAATCACCAAGGACCTTAGGTAGAGAAAGTTTCCCTTCCCTGCTACAAATGCCCTTTCCTTGGCTTTATTGGTCTAACACTGAATCTGAGATCTACTCAACATGTATTGCTATGGTGTATGAAATATATACACATACAATTGTCAATAATCTAATATGGTAATACCAATCCACTGTCCTAGTTTGTCATTTTGTCTTTCGCAGTTGCAATTGGCAATGATGGAAGATTGGTTGTACTTGTATACCTTGTCATACATTCGATTTTGAAAGTTGATCTTTTAAAATATACTCCACCAGCTGAGTTTGTTTGCCTACTAATCAAAACTATTATGCCACCAATCATTTGTTTATTCTCAAGGATTTCCCTACCAATATTCTGTTACTTACATTTCCTACCGTCTGTAGAGAACCACGCCCTTGGGAAGAACCCGGTTCTTCAAAGCTTTCAGTGGATGATGCACCAGCTGAGGTGGAAAATGTATCTCTTCCAAATCAACCAGCAACGAAGACTGAAGATGCTTCAGAAGATGAAAGTCGAAGAAAGAGAAGACGTGAGGAGAGGAAGCAGGAGAAACATGAAAAGCGTGAGAAGATACATTCTCGGGAGGATAGGAAGCAAGAGAAGCGGGAGAAACATGAGAAGCGGCATTCTCGTGATTCAGATGACAGGAAAAGACACAAGAAAGATAAGGAGAGGAGGAGACACGATTCAGATTGAATTTATTCTGTGTGTTTTCTCATCATCTATGTGAATTAGCATGTTTATTTCTATTTCCATGACTCATTATGGATGGTGTATCTACTTAATTGGCAGTTCTAGATGCCTGCAGGTGTTGGCACCAACAATCAGGCCCTATTCTGTCCTTGTGTATCGGAAAGCTTCAGTAACTTTGCCTTATCTTCCTGTCATGATATTGTCTTCAAAATCAGATTAGAGATCAAGTTTTTATTATATGATTTTTTTTAAATCAATGACCCAATTAACTCGAGAGAATAATTATCGTACCATATTGAGTTTTTTGCCATTTCACTCTTGATTTTTTTCTTTTTTTAGTTTTTATATTTCGTAACTGTGGAAGGTATGAATAATTTATATTTATATATTTTTGTAACTATGAAGATTTTTTTTATGAATAAAATTATAATGGATAAAAATTTTAAAATAAATATTATAAGATGTTATCATATGTTATGAAATTGAGATAATTCTATTTTTATATGGAATATTAATATCTCATTTTATGATGGACAACATAGTTTTATGTTTTTTCTATTTCTTAATCTTCTATTCGTGAGGTTCATATCATTTAGAAATTGAAATCATTAATAATTTATATTGTTGTTTTAAAAATTGGATCTGACTAGTCAATTTTAGAAACTGGTCTTTAACTTTCAAATGACTATATTTTAATTAAATTAGAATAAAACCAAAAAAATGGGTACAAAATTAATAAATCGAAAAAATCAATTGAGATTTTGAATTAACCGGACTTTCTAAAAAATAACCTTTAAAATCAATTTTTTATATATATATATATATATATATATATATATATATTTTTTTTAAACAAGTAATATATTTTTTTTTATCTCAGTTGAATATATCTTACTAATAATATATTTTAAAAGAAAAATTATTACAATAGAATATCTATCCATTTGTTTAAATAAATATGTTTAGTTTCTATTCTCTAGACGTAAAATTTTATTTATTTTTTTTCAATCCTCATTCACTCTTTATTTTTTTTTCTCTCCTCAGCCACCTATTCTTTTAATTAAATTGTTATATTAAATTTTAATAAAAATATGTTTAAATATTTATTTTAAAATAATAGTGAAACTGAAAAAATATTAATTAATTATTTAAAATTATGATGATAATAAATAATTTTATTTATTTTGACAATAAATAATTAACTTAAAATTATTTTATCATAATAAATGATTATTTGTCTAATTAAAAAATATCAAATAATTATAAATTAAATTTATTTTTCATTTAATAATTTAATCTAGATTAAACTATGATAATTAGTTAGATTAGATAATTTTAAAAAAATATTAATTAAAAATAACTTGAAAATAAATATTTAATTTTTTTCTTAATAATTATAATATAAAAATAGTATTTATAACATTTTAAATTTATCATATAATATATTATATTTTTGGATATTTAAATATTTTTATTTTTCAATAATAATAAAATACTCACTATATCAAATTTTAATATATTATTTATAATTAAATAATAAGATGGAGTGAGAGAAGATGAGAGAGGAAAAAGTAAGAGAAAAACAAACACTGAATGAAGACATAGAAAAAAGAATAATAAAAAATAATTTAAAAGAAAAATAAGAAAATAAATTAAAGAGAAAAAAATAATTATACTGTTACGAATTTATTTTTTTCTTATTAAATTGTGTATCATCAAATATCAATAAATAAATTTAGAAAAATTTTATTTAAGTAATTGTTTTAAAATATATTATTTATAAGATTAATCTATATTATTATTTTATTGTGTTTTATCTTATTTTAGGAATTATTTATATTTTTTAATATATTTTATATCTGTACTATTTACAGATAGTAACTTTTATTATTATTAATTTTTTTATAAAAATATGTTATTATTAATGATTTTATTATATATTATTATATTATAAAAATATTATTTTATTAAATTCAATTAAATTATAATCCTGGATTGATAATTTTAACTATTCAATTTTAAAAATATTAATTTATATATATCTTTTTCTTACTTACTAAAATATCTTTTAAAACTAAATTTTCAATACCTTAATAATAACAATCCTTAACAATATTATTATTTTATTTTTTAACGAATTGTTTTCAAATTTGAAAAACCAATACTTGTTTTTGATACAAATGAGGAAACGAGTGTAAAAGTTTTCATAATTTGTTGTCCTATTAAATGTATTTTTCATAATTATAAGTCAAAACAGTTATGAAGTATTTATAGGTTGAATATTTTATAGTCTACTAGTAATTATCATTTCAGTAATTTGGGTTTCAATATTTTTCAGGGAATTATGTTATTATAATTAATAATTTTAATTTGTAAAAAATACTCAATAAAAATAACCCTTCTCTAAAACGGCAACAACTACGGTACGGACAATCGTGGACGAATTCAAGAATCCAATAGCTTGGGTGTAGTTCATCTTCCTTGCGAAGAAGTAAAAGTCAAATCTATTAAATCATTTTTTATCCCTACGATCAACCTATGATCAACTTGCTAATACTAAGAGCTACATCCCTGCTTCTTTCATTCTACGTTGAATTTGCCGTCATACGTACTATGCTTCAGATCCAATTCAACGTACACTATTTCTTTGAATTCTGGCTGCCGAAATCATGCACTAAATTGGGGTGTCGCTAGTCATTCTTGTCATCTTTCTCATCATAGTAACTGAAAGGATGAGGGACTGATTTGAAGGCACGGTAGTTTCCAACATTGTTCAAGTGCTCGTTCTCCAACCTGAGTGATGACAATGTGTCATGCATGTCTCAGGCATTCTAAAACCAATGCCATGTCAAAAAGTTACCTAAAGAAGTTCCAAATGCCACGACGAATAATCTCCAGGCAGGAAGTAACTGTAATTATTGCCACTTTATGAAGGGGATTCCAGTCCAGTTCAAACACCAACTGCATCCAGGAAATTCTAAGAGCTATGTCCACGACCTGTGAATTTACATCAAATTGAACTAATAATTTAATATGCAAGAACCATATACAGAACAACAAACACCCTTTTGCCTTTGGTCAGTTTTTTAGTTACCATTGCAATGAAGTAGACACTTTTGTGTGGAAGTATGAGTTGATCTCTCAAATAGGGGTTCTTTGAATGCCTTCGTAGGAGCCCCCAGTCCATAACAATGTCCCAATATGTGTTCTGAAGAACTGCTAGCGCTGAAGTTACAAGTGCCAACACCTTCCAACTGCTTCCCTTCTTTAGTTCAAAGGCAGTCCTAAAGACCATGGCAATAATTGTTGTGAGATAATTTAAACCATTGAAGGCACGGTTGATATCTCCCTCTTCATAGAACTGACGCATGCACTGCACAAACATGATATGCTCAGTTAGTGAAGTTGCTTTTGTATCTCAAAAAGACAGCATAAAACAAGAAAAAAGTAGAATATGATGTATTTTAACTATTGGACATAACTCTTCCTACTTTTGTTATGAGTTTTAGATATACGCAAAATTTTCCAGATGCCACCACGAATAATCTCGAGGCATATGGTTGTCATTTTTTATTCCAATATTCAATCAATTTTGCAAACCATTCATCTAGAGCTCCATTAAACATCAAACATCAACAATTAAGAGTCCAACTCAAGGAAGATTATTGGTCCATAAAGTGGTAAAACTCCTACATTGCCAACCCTTAAAAGTGCCTACAAGACCCAATCTCAGAAGTGCGATCCCCACATATATAAACACTTGAAACATGCAGAAGTAGACAATGGGACTTTTGCTTTTGGATTGACACATAGAAAACAACAGGGAAAAGCTTCAGACTTAAGTATACCTCTTATCCTAGTTAATGTGAAAGAACACATGTAAGCTGTCACTATTGTTAAATAAAAAATGGTCTTTCAACATTTCTTCTCAGGTTTTAGGACAGTACAAAGTTCCTGTTAACCAAAATTCATCTTTTTTACTAATCATAAAGTGATACAATAAACCATAAAAAGAGACAAGTGCGTAAAACTTCACCTTATAAATTCATAGGCAAGATACTTACTTAGCATATTTAGCACAACAAACAATATAATGATGCACATAGATATCAAAATGAATATGGAAAGAAAAGATTGTATGGACCTGTGCTAGGCGAAACCAATAAGGAATGATGCCAATGATGAAATACTGTACGTTATAGAAACCACGACTGTGACATTTCTTTTGCCTCCTTGAGTGTTCTCCAAGGCCATAATAGCATATGTAAAGCTCGACACTCTTGAATGATTGGAACTAAGGTAAAAATTAGAACATGGAATAACATCAGAATATGAACTCGGAAATATACTAAGGTCTGTAACATATGAATCCATGGGAGCAAAATACCTGGCTGGTAAGCTGATCAGCCAAGAAGAAATCTGCAAGAGGAACCTACAAAGATAAGTCAGTTTTGCTTGTAAGAAAAAAAAATCCATTAATTAAAATTATCTGCTTCTCCAAAATCAGATTTTTAAATTATACATATGTTAAAACTCTTTTCATTACTCTCCTATGAATATGAAAAATATTTATCCAAATAGACCATGAAAATTTTCCTTTTTCCATTACCGTGAAAAAAGGAGCACATATACAGCGAAATAAGCACCGGATGAAGAAGAAACGACTTGAGCGGTATATGATGTTCAGAGGGCAAAAGGTAATCAAAAGAACAAGCTGTACAAGAAACCAATTGAGAGCAAATTGTGGTGAGGATCCATAATCAAGGCAAGAAGTACTTCTGAAACTATATTTGAAATAGTGAAATAGTTGGTTAAATCCAAACTAGGTTTCTTACTACAACTAAGCTCAGAGGAACAAGTTCAGTGACTGTCTTGTAGTGTTGACTCCTTGGGTTCATCTCAATCTGCAAATTTATCAAGAAACATAGTAGTGCTACCACTGCGTGACCAGAGGCCAGAAGGAAAATTTCTCTGTAGTCCAATTCAGTTCCAGGCCTGAAGCC